TAGATACGAACGAAAAGCGGGGAATGCGGATAAAAAGAAGTGGCCGCCTAGGTCATGCTCCCCGACCCCCTCTCTACCCCCCAGCTCTCTCTCTCTCTCCAGTTACTGCTAAATCTGTTGGCTAAACGACACCTCGTCCCGCCGGCATCCGTCGATCCTCCTGTCGGAGGTGAGCTCCCTCCCTCTCTCTCTCTCTCTCTCCCTCCCCACCACATTCACAACGCGCAACAGGGAGGCGGATGCTGCTGACGGGGATCCTCGTCACGTGCCGCCTTTTTTTTTTAAGCGACCGACGTGTCACCCTCCTCTTCTTATTCGAGGGGCCGTTATCCGCCTCCACCTGCTGTCCCTTAGTTTCTCCTTTCTCATTTGTGGGTCCCCAAACGGTCTGGCCGCCAGTCGATCCGCCACGAGAGCCACGCTGGCGGGGGGTTAAGTTCACAGGTTCTCTCCAATTAATTAATTTTCAATATTTTACTTTCAGCCGCTCATTTGTTTTTTGTATGATCTTTGCCACGTGTTTAAAAGCGATTCTCGGGCGGCGGCTCGCCTCGGCGAGCTGCGTGGTGGATAATTTAACTGCGGGTCCCACAGTTGATCGGCATCCCAGGGCTTCGATCAACGGTTGAGATTTTTGGTCTTCGTTACATTTTAGAAAAAGTGAAAAGAAACGAAGAAAAAACCTGGTTTCTCTAAAATTGTGAAATTCAGTATTGGACAGAGGACTTTTTTATTTATTTTGTGGAGGCCCAGTGGGTGGGACCCCGGCTTAGTATAGTAGAAGTAGCCTTCAAGAGGCTGCTGGCCGTTGAATGATAGGAGCCTAGTTCCTCAATCTGAGGCTCCCATTCCAAAGGCTACAATAGGACTGGAGCAAGGGATCGTCATCCATCTCTCTCTCTCTCTCTCTCTCGATTCAGCAGAGGACGAGAACCACAAATGGGATTCTCATAAGCAGCGGCCTTAACTTCTCAAAGAAAGAAAGTGGCTGGGAATTTTTGAATAGAAATGGTATTTTAGTATGACCAAAAGATGAGCTTGGTCGTCAAATAGGCCCATAGATCGATGTCAATTCAAGCTGGGTCAGGGTTCCAGTGAGTGATTTGTCTGGCCATGTGATTGTGACTCACATCCCTCTCTCTCTCTCTCTCTCTCTCTCTCTCTCTCTCTCGTTAGTTTAGCTTCTCTCATGGAAACCTCTCCGCTTACATGATGGTGTCCTACAACCTCTTTCTTCCCATTTCCTCTTATAGACCCCCCTCCTCCTCCGCTTTTCAATTTGATTCGCATTATTTAAATCGACATACATTTTTAGTATAATGAATATGAACAAAGTCGAGGGGATTTTGAACCCCAAACTATATACAATCACACGTAATTTCATGAGACATATTCCATATAGAACAAATATTACACTATACTACCCATCATTTTATATATTTTTTATGTTTTTAAGAGTGGGAAGGACACACTTCTAATATTTTTTAGCAGTTAATTTACAACTTTTGACCAGAGAAATGGAATGTTTTAGTTTGCAATACATGAGACAATCACAAGTTTTTAATGGTTCAACATAAAAAAAAAAAGGAATAGGCAAAGAGGCTAGTTTAGATGATTAAATAATTGGTAAGTTAGACATATCTATCACATTTTTAGGCTGTAAGAACAGAAGAATCGGTTTCTTGGATCTACTTATCATGTTCCTATTTTAGGCTACCATGAAAAATATTATGTTAGCATTTTCTATTCAATATTCTATGCTTTCAACTTCATAAGTTACTTTAGCACATAAATGACAAGGGTTTACAAATTCTTGTAAATAGACAAATCCTACAAAACTTTTAAAATTAGAGTCTTAATGATTATATATATTATTTGACAATAAGAAAAATACATTTTCATTCACATACTTGGATTCAAATAGCAAAAATAAATGGCATTTTGTTTTACTAATATTTGTGTGATATGAAAAACAACTTTTCTAATAGATTTGTGAATTTCTTCACCATACATTGTGCTCTTTATTCCTTCATTTACCTAGATTTTTTCAAAGAAAATTTCAACCCATCTATCAAGAATAAAGAGTAAGGTATAGATGTTTTCAAATAATTCTACCTTTGACCAGAAAGGGAATTGAAAATTGACTGAATACATTAATCATCTATTATATGAAAGTACACACAATCATCTATGTAAAATTTTATGGATTGTAATGTAGCTTCACATTCAATACTTCTGATTGAGCCAGTATATCATGTGAATTAATAAAATTATGCTACAAAATAGTGGTCTCCTATCAAGAATTCTCCAAATGAATATATGTTCATGACAAAAAAAATGAACAATAGTGTTAATAAGATTAAGCTGATGTGTCCATGCGCTCGACTACTAGTGAATGAAAACTGCTGTAGATAAATGCTTCTTTCCAATGTAGAGTGCACCTGAAAACCCTGTAGGAAGGAAACACAAGACAAACACCCAACCATGTATATCTATTGTGATTACTTCAAACAAAAATTAGAGATTATTCAACAGTTTGTTGTGAATGCACTTTTGTATTGCAAAATTATTTTGTTTTAAGATTTTCATTGTTGGTTATGTGAGATTTTATCTATTATTGATTCATAGACAACATACTATGGCATCACTTTAAATGGGGTTTTTATGCAAATATCGCTATCCATATTTCGTCATTAGGTGTCACCCACATTCCTCTGTTCTCTTGGTTCAACCATCCAGACTTCGTCTCCACCCAACCTCGTGGAAGTCCCAAATGCAAACCCTCCCACCTACCCTCGCACCATGATGGAACATGTGTAGTCCATGAAGCCTCAAGCTGATATTCACAGAAATAACTAGGCAGCAAACTCACTGTGTCCTGTTGAGGCTCTGATCACAGATCCTTTCCCCCATAGACAAAGATGGGAGCACCGCCATTCAGAGATGGGAGAACCGTTGGGCAGAAATGGTTGAAAGGCTAGCCCGGAACAGACCGAGCCAAACCAAAGTAGTTGCATGAACGGCCGGGTCAGAATCAGTCACAGACTCGTCCACAACATGTGATCTGACCGTCTATAAAGAACGGGAGAGGGGGAGAAGAAGATTGATCGAGTCTAGGCTCCAGCTAGGAGAAAAGGAGAATAGCAATCTCCAATTGGCTACCTGGAGGACTCTTGGAGTTCCTCTAGTTATCCCTCTTCATTCTTGCCATCCCTACTCTTCCACACTCATTTCCCACTGATATGTTGTCACTCCCTTTCTCTTACTATAAAACTCTATTCGTAGAGTTTATTTGATGTTAGAAGGACCGATTTTCTATTAACCATCGCGTCTGTTACACTCCCGTCGTTGGATTTGCATCAACTAATATCAGAGCTAAGTCGCCTCGATTCCTCATTGGGCCAAAGCCAACTGATCCCAAATGAGAAACCCTGAAAAAGGAAATGGAGGAAGTCCGGCACAACATCTTGCGAGAGTAGACAAAGATAACTAGTTTTCGGCTGGAGTTGAAGACCAAACAAGACGAGTTTTGTGCGGAGGTTAAAAGTGATCGAGCCAAGCTTTGACAACAACTTGGAATGTTGATCCGATTCATGGAGAGGCTGCTCCGCTAGGAGAAAAAAAATGGGAAGGAAAAAGAAGCTGTAGAGTCTAGCAAGGGATTCTCCCATTTGGAGCATTGTAAAACAGGGGGATACGAGGAGGACATCTGCCTACAACCACCGTATCTCCCCCCCCCCCTATTCCAGGTGAGTTTCAGGCTCAAAGAAGAAGGTTAGTGGAACTAACTCGGATGGGTGGGTCCTCCGAGCTGAACTGTATTTCGCCACTTACAAACTGACATGCCTAGAGAAGCTGGCAAAGGCGAGCCTTAGCATGGATGGGTGTGCTCTCCTCTGGTTCCGATGGGCAGGTGACAAGAGGCCCTTCTGGAGCTGGGAAGAGCTTAAAGAACAACTCTTGACCCGATTCAATTCTCTTCAATCTAACACTCGTTGCAAATGGTTTATGGAGCTTACTCAATAGGGGATTGTCAATGAGTATTGATGTTAGGAGGACTACAACACATTCGGGAGGACTGGAAGGGGCCTTCTTGAAGGGACTGCAACTAGAGCAAGGATGCAGCCAGAGATTCAAGCTGAAGTATGTGCAATAAATCCAGTAAGACCGGAAGATATTATGCAAGCCGCCTAGAAAGTCAAGGTGAAAATCAACAAAAGCAAGGATCTCAAGATTGACAGATTCTCAGATTCTCGACCTGGAGTTGAGGCATCCATGGTCCACCGGAGTCAACAATTTTTTGAGGATAGGTAATGGGCCTCGTGGTCCTTTGGTGCCCTGACGTGACTCAGTCGTTGTATATTAAATCACGCAAATATAAAATTTATAAAACTAGAAAATACGAATTTTCGGATATTTAGAAGTATTTCTGAATAAATATATCACTTATAATTCAATAAAACTTCCAAAAATAGCGGTAATTTTCCAAGTCGATCACAGGGATGTAATATAATATCTGGTAATTATTCAGAATTTTTCTCAATGAATACAATTTTCTATGAATTTTATACTAAGAAATGAAAAAGAAAAATATTTAAAATTCACAAAAAATAAGGAAATAAGGGTGCAGACGTCAGGATGACGTCAGCGCCCGACAAACGTGAATCGGGCGGAAACAGAGTTCCGCTCGGCGATTCTTACGAAAGCGATTACAGACGATTTAGTTAATCAAATTAAGATCTGTAAAAGCTAGAAGAATCGTAATAGAACAAAGTATATTTTGGTAAATCAAAATCACAAAAAGTATCACTAAATGAAGCGTAAAGTAAGTTGAAAGCAGGAAAACAGAGTTCCGACGTCGCGACGGCGATGCGTCGGCGATGCACCAGAATCCTGAGCGTTCGGGAGGATCGTCGTGTAGTGTCCATGGCCTCGAAGGCTCTCCTTGGACAAAGACGACGTGGGCAATCTCTAGATCTTCTCGCGAAGTCTAGAGATTAATGAAATGGGTCGTCGAGTCGTCTCCGGCGGCTGTCACCTGGCAGAGCGGAAAAACGGCGACTTTGCGGCTCTCCAGTGGCTGTCACCCGACGGAGAGGAGTTGGATGGAGGTGGGGCGCGTGTTAGGGAGCTTCATCCTCAGGTCCGCGCAGCAAGAGGAGGCTCTTCATCGCATCTGGTACGCTCCCAGGAGGTGGTGACTCGTCTCCTAGCGGATCGTCCTCTTCCCGACGACGGCTTGTTTGTCGATCAATCGGAGATTATTTACTCGATGGATTCGTGATCCTTTTATCGCGAATCATTCAGCAATTTTAGTAGCAATGCTCCGCGAATCGCATTGACGAGATTTTCGCTGATGATCCAACGATTCTCGTTGCTTAATCCTTCACCGGCGATCTGCAGGAAAGTCGCGATAATCAGATAAAAATATATGAATTTTGACTCTGGGAGGATTCAAACCTGCGCCGGTCGCCTGTCTGTGAGGAAGGTGTGACGCGGGTTTAGTCCCACATCGGTTGTGCACCGATTTTTCGGGTAAATATATAGTAATGTTAGCTTTGTAAGCAAAGTCTCTTCTCTCGCGTGTACGACCACTCCTTGCCCCACAGCCTGCTGGCCACTGGTGACGTGGAAGGGGAGTGGCATACACGTGCCCTATCGGTCCCCAAGCCAAGCCGCTCGAGCCCTTGCTCACGGCTACTCCCCGACTGCGCTTCCGACCCGCTTGCGGGTCCCCCCATTTTTGCAATATTTTTATTTTTATTTCTTGTTCTTCATTTATCTCGAAAGTAAGACTGTAAAAATCATATAAAATCACATAATTACCCAAAAATTCACGTTAATCAACTGAAAACCACAAATCATTTTTTAACACAAATATAAGTCTATTTATCATGAGTTAAGGCTAAAACTATATTATTTACTAATTATTAACTCATGATAATGAAGACTTATCATGCCCTCTATGGCTACATCTAATGCCGCAATGAAGAGAGTCAATTTACCTGCAGCAGAGATTCAAGCCAAATGAATGTAGGGTCTCTATTTTTACTATAGTGAGAAATGTTGGATATGAAGGATCTAGTGTTGAGATAAATAAAGAATGATAAAATATAATGAGAATGAATTAAAGTCATACATGAATCCATGAAGGCATTAGTACGAAGATGACCTTTTGATCAACACAAATGAGTTGTCCAATAACTTACTCAAGAGCGATGAGATACTTTAAGAGTGACTATCAATATGTGACCCAAGGACCATAGCCTCTTATTTATAGACAAGAGGTAGTTAGCCTCTTTGTGTCTTTTTCTAATTTAGTTTATCATAAAAGTAGAATAAGACATGGTCTTTACACATTTATATTTATACTCATACTTACGAGAGAGGTCATAATCTTAAATACTTAAACTCTAACGAATCACTTTAAGTATAATTATCTTAATGATAGCCTCATAATTTACTTTACAATTCATATACATAATTATTCACATTGAGATTAATTCCAAAAAGAAATACTCTCCTTGACATCATTGCAAGATGTAAATTCATATCCTATTCACCCTTGAGGAGTTTGATTTTTTTCTAGCCACATCGAAGGAGAATGAAGTATTCGCAAAAATTCTAAAAGAAGAGGGAATGCTCATTAGCATATGGTTGTGTTGCTAAGTGAGCTCGAAATGAAATTTAAGGGCATCATCGGAGATCAGAAGGTGATAGTGCTGATACACATTGGAGACACCCACGACTTCCTACACAACAAACTCGTGGAAGAACTCTATCTTTCGGTCACCACCACCCCCATTTATCGAGTAATGATGGGGATGAGCGAGCAAGTAAGTGGCAGTGGGATATGCCACGACGTCCATCTCCAATTATAGCCCATAGATATCTGTGAAAAAAATTCATTCTTCCCTTGGCTATTGTTGACGTCATCCTCAAACTCTAGTGGATGATTGGTCGAAAGAAATTAGAGCTCGATCTAGAACACTAGACAATCTCCTTCAGGACCAGGATAGAAACAATCATCTTGAGAGCAGATCTCTCAATGCTGCCGATTTCGATGTCTCTCATGACACTCACAAGCCAAGTTCATCTTGAAGAAATCTACTTCAAATTTTACCAAATTACATAGACAGAATTCGAGGTCCAAGAACACCCCCTGCAACAACAAATGCAACTTCAGTTTCCCAGGGTCTTTGCAGAAGTCAAAGGGCTTCCACCTTGCAGAGAGATCAACCACTAAATCCCTTTAGAGCCTATCACAAAATCAGTAAATATTCGTCCTTTCCAATATCCTTTTTATCAAAAGACAAAACTGGAAAGGCTGATATGCGAGATGATGGAGGCCAAAATTATACAACACTAGCACAGCCCTTCTCTAATTCGGCATTATTGGTATGGAAGAAGAACGGGACGTGGCAATTTTGCATGGACTACCGTACTTTGAACAAGGTAATGATTCCTATCTATTTCTGATTTCGGTGATTGAAAAATTGTTAGACAAACTGCATGGCACCCCTGATTTTTTTGAAGCTTGACCTTAGAGCCGGGTATCATCAAATATGTATCCATCTAATAGACATTTCTAAGATGACATTTTGAACCCATGAAGGACATTACAAATTCATTGTAATACCGTTCGGCCTCTCCAACATGCCTTCTATGTTCCAAGCATTATTGAACCAAATTTTCAAAAAGTATCTTCAAAAATTTTCTTCATTTTCTTTGACAACATTGTTATCTATAGTATGACTCCCCAAGAACACGAGGAACATCTAACCCATGTCTTCACAGACCTGAGTCAACATCAATTGCATGTCAATTTGAGAAAGTGCTCCTTCACCTAGACAAAGATCTCTTATTTGGGGCATTAGGTATCGGCTGACAAAGTGTCCATCAATCAAGAGAAGATTGATGCCATCTAGAAAGGGCCAACTCTCTGCAATTTGTGAGAGCTAAGAGGGTTCTTGGGTGTATTAGGATATTATCGCTACTTCATTCAGACCTACAACACTAAAGCTGCTCTGCTTACTCATTTACTCAAGCGGGAGGCTTTCAATTGGGGGGTTGAGGCAACTGCTGACTTCCAACGGCTCAAAAACACCATATTCTCCACCCTGATGCTTGCTCTCTCGGATTTCAGCCCGTCGTTTGAACTGGAGGCAAATGTGTCAAGCCGCGGAGTCAAAGTGATGCGGATGGAGAGGGTGAAGGATATCGAATATAAACTCCGGCAGAAAATGTAATAAAGATTAAAATAATAAAATGAGTTAGATCTTGAGATATTTAGATTAGACACCCACAATTGACAAAGAGTAGAATTTAGCTGTTTGAGGATACCACTGATAGGATACCCTAATTTTTATCATGTCATAAAATCTTCCTTTTCACTGTTTTATGATCAATCAAATAAGATTAAGCTGGATATCCTATGATCACTCAAGCTACAAAGGAGCAAGAAGATATATTAAATACATAAATAATTGAGAAGTAAAGGAGTTTACTATATTGTGGAAGTCCGCAAATTCACTGGCGATATCACAAGGTCATCAGCTGATCCTTTTGCGACAGTGTTCACAGAGATGCTGGAGATGACCTGACCTGCCAGGATATCGAGCCAAGCTTTCGTGGGATAGAAGTCGGGGGTTGATAGATGTTAATTGCAAAAACCGTGGCTGTCGTGTGATAGGTGGAAAGGTGTATAGGGAGAGTGGATAATGACAAGATGAAATGGGATAGCTTAGCAGGGGGACTAGTAGACAGTGGCAGCGAGGGGGGGTAAAACCGTAGAGGGAGGAAGCAGGGACGAGGCGGTGACAATGGCAAATGGCGTTGATGGTTGATGGCGGGGAGAAGCTGTGGAAGACGGTAGTGGGCAGCAGGAACAGTAAGAAGTGAGCTAGCCTGTGACTCAGGTGAGGGAAACCTGACGCGATGGGACAAAAGGAAAGTAGTGGGAAAAAGAAGAGAAAAGAGGAAAAAGCTCCAAATTGGGAGCGGCGGGGTCCTCGCAACCAACCCAAGCCGAGGTGATGGGATCAGAGATCAAAAAGAACAAAGCTTAATTCTTCAGTTGTGTCCTCTCCTCTCAGCCTCGTGGCTCTCTTACAGCCTTTTTCAAAACGTAATTAAGCTAGCATGGGTTGGTTCAATGTTGCATCACAATGGTGTCTTAATGCAACAATAGCGGCCAATCACATTCTTCAACTAAGCTCTATCATCTCTGTAAAAACTGAAGGCAGTCTATGAACATGAGTTGATCACCATCATCCTAAGGATCCTACGATCAACGTGGTCTGAAATTTGTCATATTTACTGATCAACGTGGTCTGAAATTTATACTGGAACAGCAGCGGGTTCTATCTGAATACCAAAAATGGCTCGCCAAGGTCGTGATATTTAACTTAGAAATTAGGTACAAAGCCAGAAGCGAGAACCAGGCAACGGACGCCTTGTCTAAACCCCCCCAACTCATTTTGGTCTCATATCACCCTCATCTCGCGATCAGAGCTGATTGACTTGGATCAGATCTGATCAACTTGGATCAGATCGCATAGGAAAATCATAAGGATTTGAGGCTTGCGACTATCATTGATCAATTGTCACAGCAGCCCGATGTGCATCCACCATACTTGCTACACCATGGACAACTGCTATACAAGCAACAACTGGTAGTCTCAAAACCTCCCAATTGATCCTTTGAATTCTACAAGAGTTTCATTGTTTGCTAGTGGGGGGCCACTCCAGCTTTCAGCAAACCTATCTTTGGATTCTTCAAAATGTACATTGAAAGGGAATGAGGTGCATGTTAAGGAAATTCAAGATGACGTACGACGGTAAAATAGAGTAACTGCCAACTAACTGTTCAGCCGATTGAAAGAGAGAATGATAGCTCATCAACTCACTTAAAACAGGAAACCACCTATCCAGTAGTTATTAAAGATTGGTGGACCAACACTCACAAATTCAATGGTTCAAATCAGAACCTTATAAATAGAACACTGTAAATACGAAATAGTTTAATGCAATTCATTTCTCGATTCCTCTCTTCCACGATTTCTTTCTCTCTCCCTTTCTCTTCCTCTCTCCTCTTCTTGAATCCTTCACATGGTATCAGAGCAATAGAGGATCAAATGACCGCGTTGACGGGATCACCCAACTCTATATCTCAAGTAGTGATAACCTCTACAGTCCAAGCTTCATTAGCTGTTCCCACCGAATTGATCTTGCCGGTAAAATTTACAAGAAAAAATAATCATGTTTGAAAAAATTCATTCTTATTCTGAATGGTATGATTTGATGAAATATATTGAAGATTCCCCAGTGGTTTTTGTTGCTGATATTCAGAATAATATATAAGCAAATCCAGAATATAAAATCTGGTGGCACCATGATCAGCAGGTACTAGGTTTTATTCTTTCCTCTCTTTTTGAATATGTACTCTCTAATATTGGACAGAAGAATACCACAAAAGAAATGTGAGATGTAATAGAAACAGCATATTCGTCGAAAGAAAAATCAAGAATTATGGATCTCCAAAGAAGCCTCCACAATGCTAATAAGGGAGACACGACTACTGATGACTACATCAAGATGTTTAAAAATGCAGCAGAAGAACTACATTTGCAAGACATCCAGTTGACGATACATCAATAATTTTTGCATTTCTAAGAGAACTCGGGACCTCTTACATTCCATTCATAGTGAGTATCAATGTAAATCTAAATCACTTGACATTTGAAGATAAAATAGCTGAATTAAAGGCTCACGATGTAATTTATGCATTTCATCAAATTCAAAATACCAACAGTCTAGCTCCTACAATCAACAATGTTCAGCTTTCTTCATCTCAAAATCAAAATAAAGGGAATTAGCAATGACAAAATAGAGGATCAAGGCAAAATAGAGGAAGAAGGGGTAGAGGAAAAAGGAATTAGTAACCTTGGTGTCAAATATGCTCACAATTTAGACATTGAGGTAAGGAGTGCGAAGAAAATATTCTAATAATTTTTTTGCATTTAGCCGAAGCAATCTTACACCTCAATAGAATCAAGGCAACTCAGTGACTCAATTTACTCAATTTCCTCAAGCTACATCACAAGCATATATGATGAACATTGGTAATATTTCTAAACCCTTTGCCTCAACTGCTTGGTTTCCATGCACCATGTTACTCTTGATCAACATGTGATAAATATGCCATCAAACTATCAAGGAATGGATCATTTCAAAATAAGTAATGGCTCAGGTTTGAAAATTCAATTTCTTGGCAATACCTTTTTAAAATCTTTCTCATTTCTACTAAAATTAAAAGATATGTTGCATGTACTAGAGATCACTACAAATTTATTTTAGTGAAAACGTTAATGACCAATAACAATGCTTTTGTTGAATTTCATGTTGATTATTATCTTGTGAAGGACGTTAAAACACACAACATCCTCCTCAAGGGAACAATTGAAGATGGCCTTTATCTTTTGAAACCACACGTCAATGGAAATGCTGCTTTTCTTAGAGAAAGAACTAATTTCTAAGAAGCTCAACCATTTTTCGGTTTAGAACTCTTCGTAAAATAATTGAGAAACATGCTTTACCAACTACTCAATTACCAAAACATTATTTGTTTGATGCTTGTCATATCTCAAAATCTCGCGAACTTCCATTTTTTAGTTCAAATAAAATCTCAACAAAACCTTTAGAACTAATTCACTCAGATTTATGGGGATCCTCACTAGTTTTGTCTCATTTTAATTTTTCTTAATATGTTATTTTTATAGATGATTTTAGTAAATATTTAATACTTGTCTATATCCTCTAAAACTTAAGAGTGTTTTAATAGCTTTTTAGAATTTTAAAATAGAGCAGAAAGATAATTTTCTACAAAAATTATTTCGTTTCAATCTGAATGAGGAGGTGAATTTCAGGCCTTGCATCATCATCTTAAAAATCAAGACATAATACATAGAGTTTTATGCCCTCATACTCCTCAACAAAATGGCACAGTTGAAAGAAAACATAGGTGATTAAATAAAATCAAGGGTTGTTGAGAAGCCCCAAAATAAATTGATCAAAAATATTTAGAATCACAAATTTACCAAATTAAATTACTAAAAGGTAAGTACTGTAGTAAGTTCATGGTTGATCCATAGGAAATAAGAATTAGGCACTAAGTAGTTACTATTCTATTTAATTTATAGATTTAGATGAGATGAACTCAAAGAAGAAGATGCGATGGCAAATAAGGACATTTACTATCAGAAAAAAGGGAAAACACCAATTTGATGATATGAAAAGTGATTAAGAGAGGAAAACACTCACAAAAGACTCGTAATATGAAGTTAACAACATACCTCTATCTATTCAAACCTATGAATGTTAGATGGTTGTTCATGCTAGGAACATATCAGACTTGGAGAAACTTATCTCAGGCCTCTATATTTCACCAAGCTAGGTGGTTTCTTCAATATGCTTCTCTGACGATCTTAGCTGCCAACCAAAGTTTGAATCAATTCAAAGCACATCAAGATTGATGTAGAACCTCAATGTAGTTTCACTCAAACCGACTAAACATCAGGACATTCGAAGTTAAGTTTTCCGCCACTAAATGGCAGCTTAAATGTGCAAGGATTTACACGAGGATATGAGAGTACATGTGTAGGGCTGATATCTGCCTTTTCGAGAGTTGGTTCATCCAAGATCATTTGATCTAGGGCTGTGATTAAGTGAGAGTAATTTTATCTTTTTGGCCACAATAAGATGAGGCGACAGTCGATTTCCTCTTGGGTTGATTTGAAATGTTGGATTTGGAGGTCTTGTCATAATTGTAGGATCTTTCTTAATGTTGAGATCCATTGCACCCTCAATAAGTATGTTCTATTTGTCATTAATTGTGCCATTTTTGAAAGCTTCTAATCTCCTCATTTGGTGATGCCGCGTGTCAGTGCCTCAGCCTTTGATTCCGTCGCCTCATCCCTATAAATCAAATCTCGATCATAGAAGCATATATCGACTTCTTAAAAATCATTAAAAAATTCAAAAATTCTTAAAATTCTCTCATATTAATAAAAAATCAATTATGATCGTAAAACTTAGAGAAAGATTCTAAAAAAATCTCTAAAATATAAAAAAATTATGAAATAATAAATGTTAACTCTTTTAATATGATAACATGCTAGATTATAAGATTTAAGTTCTTAAATAAAATAATTCTTACACTTTTTGTCCGATAATCAACATGTTATTAATAGGCACCTCATAGAGACATGTTTATCAATTCTTCATCAAGCTTCAATGCCAAAATAAATATTGGGATGAAGTTGTATGCACTACCACTTATTTAATTAATCAGATGCCAACACTAATATTGAGAAATAAATCCTCATATGAAGTTCTATTTATAATGTCTCCTAATTATAATATTTTATTTTATTTTTGTTGTTTATGTTATTTATACTTACAACCCTACACTCAACATAAATTGACATCATGATCAGATCAATGTGCTCTACTTGGTTACAGTCCATTACACAATAGCTACCGATGTTTATCTATGAATTCAGGTAAATTGTTCATTTCAAGGCATGTTATTTTTTATGAACATATTTTTCCTTTCTCTTCTTTAAATATTGAAATTCTAATATATCTTCTGATAAAGGTATTCTAAGAAATTATCCAAACTCTTATTCTTTTCCTACAACCTCCACAAGTCAATCGACTAGTCTCACAAAATCTGATTCTCTCACTTACAATTCTCCGTTCTCTAAGTTAAATATTTCTTCCCCAATTACTGATCATCAAATAGTTGAAACACTAAATTCATTTTCATTTCATTCTCATACACTCACTCAAAGTCCACAATCCACTCCCCCAACCAAACATAGGTCTCTTAAAGACATATACACAAACTGCGATCTTGACCTAATTTTCATTAAAACAGAACAAAAACCCCATGTTAATCTCACCACTCTTAGTACAGAATATCCACTATCAGTATGCTTGAATAGTACCTTATTTGACACCATGAACCAATGATTTTAACTCAGCGTCCAAAAACCCTCAATGGATACAAGCTATGACTACTGAATTTAATGCACTTATTAAAAATAATACATGGACTGTAGTACCTAGATCTCCCAACTTTTATGCCATAGGTTGTAAATGGGTGTTTAAACTAAAGCATAAGCCAGATGGAACTATTGATATACATAAAGGTAGGCTAGTAGCAAAGGGGTCTAGCCAACAAGGAGCCTTTGATTTTTCTGAAACTTTTAGTCTAGTTGTGAAAATTACATCAATTCATATTTTAGTATCTCCTACTATCAATCTTAATTGGTGCATTCATCAACTTGATGTTTTAAATGCATTTTTGCATGGAGACATGTCAGAACTTATTTACATGGAACAATCACCCAGTTTTAATCATCCATCTTTTCCTAATCATGTATGTAAATTATAAAAATCACTTTATGGTCTTAAATAAGCCCCTCGTGCATAGTTTCACAAACTAACATATCATCTTCAAACACTTGGTTTCACTGGTTCTAAAATAAATACATCTTTATATTATAAAAATGATTTTCTTAATACAGTATTAAAATTACTAATTTACGTAGATGACATACTTATTCTTAGTCCTAAAAAAATTTGCATTGACACTGTGATTAATTCTTTGCATGTGAATTTTGCTCTTCATGACTTAGGTCCAACCCATCATTTTCTTGGTATCAAATTTATTAAAAATAATTATGGTTATATTTTATCTCATCAAAATACATCGCCTCATAATTACATCGTGCTGGGATGGACCAATGTAAACCACTTTCAACGTCATACTCTACTTCCTTCTCTCCTATTATGAATTTTTCTTCTTTAGTTGATTTTACATTATATAGAAGCATAATAGGAGCACTACAATACATAACCATCACGTGACCTGATATTTCGTTTGTTGTTAATAAAGCCTGTTAGAAGATGCATACACCAACATTTATTGATTGGATTAACCTCAAACATCTCCTTAGATGTCTAAAAGGAAGCATTATGCATGGACTACAATTTTATAAAAATTCTGAAAAATCAGTTTCAGCTGATAGTGATGTTGATTGGGCTGGCTCAAGAGATGATCAAAGATCGACAAGAGGATATCTTATTTTCATAGGAAACAATCTGATCTACTCATCTAAGAAACAACCAACAATTGCTCGATCAAGTACAAAGGATGAATACAAAGCTTTGGCAAATACGACGGCAGAAATAACTTGGATTCAATCACTTCTCACTGAAAACAATATTCAACTTTCATCTCCAACAACAATTCACTGCAACAACATTGGAGTGACCTATCTAGCAACAAACCTGGTATTTCATTCACACATGAAACATGTGGAGATGATTTTCACTTTGTATGTGAGAAAGTAGTGTCTAAGCAATTACAAATCTCCTTCATTTCAAGCACTCATCAGTTACCAAATGCTTTGACAAAACCTTGACAAAGAAATGTTTTCTCTGGATCAGAAATAAGTTTTGCATCGTTCCAATGCTTAGCTTGCAGGGGGATGTTAAGGAAATTCAAGATGACGGTACAACAGTAAAACAAAGTAACTGCCAACTGACTGTTCGGCCGATTGGAAGAGAGAGAGAATGACTGCTCATCAACTCACTTAAAACAGGAAACCACCGATCCAACGGTTATTAAAGATTGGTGGACCAAAGCTCACTAATCCAATGGTTCTAACTTAGAACCTTATAAATAGAACACTGTAAACACAAAACAGGTTTAATGCAATTCATTTTTCGATTCCTCTCTTCCACTATTTCTTTCTCTCTCTCTCTCCCTTTCTCTTCCTCTCTCCTGTTCTTGAATTCTTCACAGTGCAAAATCAAGGAGTTCATGGCTCAATGTCCAGTCTGTCAACAGAACAAGAACGAGTCCTTATCTCTGGTCGGGTTACTCCAACCCCTGCCGATTACAATATGGATTTGGGCGGACATCACCCTCAAGTTCATTGAAGGACTGCCCCGCTCTAACAACTTCAATGCCATATTAGTCGTCGTAGATAGACTAAGTATGCACACTTCATTCCTCTAAAACACCCGTTCAATGCCATATTAGTCGTCGTGGTCTCAAAGAAATCATCCGGTTGCATGGATTCCCCGAGTCTATCATTTCTGACAAGGATAAAATATTCATGAATTTTTTTTGGAGGGAATTATTCAAGCTTTCTGGTACCTCTCTGCGGCGGACCAGCTCGTATCACTCACAGGTCGACGGATAGTTGGAGTTTTTCAACCGAAGCTTAGAAACTTACTTACGATGTTTTTTAAGAGATCGATCGCATCAATGGAGCAGTTGACTAGCATGGGCCGAGCTCTGGTTCAATACCAAATTCAACATCTATACCGGGACATCTCCATTCAAAATCGTGTATGGACGCAACCCTCCCGCCTTACTGCAGTACAAGTCAGGAGAGGCAGTCATGGCGGACCTCAACCAGCTCCTACAAGAGCAGGATGAGGCCCTGGAACAATTAAAGCAGCACCTAGCACAGGCACCGGCGCCGTGATATGGAATTTAACCCAGAAGACCTGGTCTACCTTCGGTTGCAACCCTACAGGTGGCAGTCACTCGCCATATAACCCTACAAAAAACTTGCCTCAAGATTTCTTTGTCCGTTTAAGTTCCTAGAGCGAATTGACGCTGTGACATATCGTCTAGAATTACCGCCGAAAAAAGCGGCCATCCTCCCTGTATTCCATGTGTCCTAGTTGAAGCCGGCCAAAGGAGCAGAACTCCGTGAGCCCATCAGTCCACTCCGCTTAAACGAGGAACTGTCATGGACGGTAGAACCCACAGAAGTTCTGGAAGGAGCTCCCTCCGTCACATGACCTGAGGTCCTAATCAGTTGGAAGGAGCTCCCTCCGTCAGAGGCAATGTGGGAGAAAACACGGAGCCTCCGACATCAGTTTCTTGAATTTGACCTTGACGACAAGGTTAATGCCTTAGGGGGGAGTATTGTCGTGGCTCTGATCATGGATTCTCCCCCTCCCGTGGACAGAGTTTGGGTCGGGCGCAAGGGAACAACGGGATCCGTCATTTAGAGATAGGCATCCTGACCGTCTATAAGAAGCAGACCCCAGCACGAGAGAGGGGGAGAAGAAGATTGATTGAATATAGACTCCTGCGGGGAGAAAAGGAGAATAGCGATCTCCAATCAGCTACCCGGATGACTCTTGGAGTTCCTGTAGTTATTCCTCTTCATTTCCTATCATCCCAACTCTTCCCCGCTCCTTTCCCACTGATCTGTTGTCACTCCCTTTCCCCTACTGTAAAACTCTGTTCGCAGAGTTTATTTGATGTTAAAAGGACCGATTTTCTGTTAACCATCGCATCTGTTCCACTCCCAATGTTGGGTTTGCATCATGTCCTCCCACCGAAGCAGCCACCAGTGGCAGCAAAAACCACCTGAAGATTTGTCAAGCATCCAAGGTTAAGATGAGGCTACATTGATCCAGTAATCTGGTGTTTCGAGTGTCTATGCCTGAAAAATGTGTGGAAAAAAGTTAGGCATGTGGTAGCGGCATGAAAGAAAGGTACTTCTCTTTTCATAGCATCTTAAGCAGAAGCGTAGGGGTTAAATACTTTAGTCATTTGTAAAGTTGGGAGTTCAAAATCAGTTATCATTACCTTCGTAATCATAAATAGATTAATTTCCTAATTTTGACCGTTTGGAGTTTTAATTTTGAAAGACTTGGAAGGAATCAATATATGAATGAATGAAGGCCGCTGAGACGGACAATTTCTCTTACATTCGTAGTCCATCAACTAGATTAATTTCCTAAGTTTGACCGTTTGGAGTTTTAATTTTGAAAGACTTGGAAGGAATCAATATATGAATAAATGAAGGCCGCTGAGACGTGAACAACCTCTCTCTCTCTCTTACTTGCTGCAAGCTTGAGAGATCTAGAAGAATGCCAGGCATGACTAGGGCGCAGAAGCTCATTAGATGTCATAAATAGCACGCTTTCAACTTTCTACATGAGAAGGATACTATAAAATTCCCCGATCCCACCCCAAACAGCCCCTCTCTGCCTTACCCAAGAGCTGTCGAACTGCATGCAACAGGAAGCCACGGATGCACCCATATTTCAGGCAAGCTGCGCCATGATATCGTCCAGGGACTTGAGTGTCTTCTCATAGTAGACGTACGACTCGTAGACCTTGGGGGTACGGACGTACCGATCCAGCTGCCCATAGGATGAAAGTTCGGAAGCTACGATTAATCGATGATCAACAAAGTACATTCAAATATATCAAGATCTATATTATAGAGAATGACGATTTGATCCTAAATGTGCGTAAATAAATATGGAAATGTAAATTAGAAAAACTGAACGGAGAATTTTCCACCGAAACCAACGTCAGTAAATTTGGCAGTCAGACTGGAATGGGCGATCTTAGGTATTCATACCTCGGCCATGTTGTCGACCAGTTCGTTGGCCGCCGTGACGTAGGGCTTCCGGCGGCCCTCCGGCAGCGTGGCCATGGCATTCTTGAGATCGGAGGAGAGGTAGGCCATCTTGAACCGGATGTAGAAGAGGACGTACCTCCACGACATGGTATCTAGCATGTGCTTCATCTCTCTCAACCCCTCGGCGGTTTGCCGGATGCGCGCCACCGAGTCCTCCGGCGATATCTCCGGCTGGAAATACTTCTCCCTTACGTAGGACCGGGCGCCCCAGCTCTCCGCAACCGCCAAGGGGGGTCTTTGGGCTACGGCCGGCAGCAGCGCGGATGCGGCGAGGCATGAGGAGGCGAGGACCCACCTGCGAGACGCCCCCGCTGGACCTTCGGTAGAGGAAGAGCATGTGGCTGTCTCGCTACGAGGATGGAACTGCCGGTGGGAGGGTTGCCTGGAATAGGCGTGGCACATAACCATGTGCTTCACGAAGCTGCCCATCTGGCCGAATTAGTTCCAACCGGCGTCGACGGTGGCGGCGGCGGCGGCAGGTGGTTGTTCGGAAAGATGGGTTCTTTGTGTTCGGACCTTAGGTGGAGACCGTCTCACCACTGTGAGCAGCTAGTTTCTCGGCACGTGTCCCTACTTTATCCTCTTAGAGAGAAAGGAGCAAATTAAGAGGAATTTCTTCATCAAGACACGTACCCCCAGTTATCCCTGAAGTGTCTTTTGGATGGCTCTCATATTCTTTTGTCATCCTACCTATGAAAATAATGACTGCGATTTGATTTACATTATTTCTTCTGAACAGACTGACTAAAAACTTGTCACACCTCAACCTTTGGTAATAATATCATAAATTGAATTATTAAAATAAATAATGTACCATTGTTAAAATTAATCAAAATTAAATTATAAGTGAAATTAAAATAAATTATTTTGGAATTTAAAACCCCTTAAATGTAGTTGGATTAAGTATGATACTACTTTCAACACAAGCTTGCGCATGCATATTTAAAATAGAAACATGAAACAATGTATTAATCAATAAGGGACAAAAGATCTAGGTCAAGATTTATCAACAATTGTAACCATTGGATACCATATTTAAACCTACTCTAAAGCAGCTTCATGAAGGACAACCCTCAAATTTATTGCCTTTGGAAAAATCTATTGAGATAAATGTTGTCAGAGTTGGACTTGTCTAACTAATGGCATAGTATATTGGTTTCCTAATAACATAGTGCAATATTTTATTTTTTTAGCATATATTTTAAAATGATTTATGTATTATATTATTTATATCCATTACAAGGTTATTTATGTCCTTCATATATCATCTTCTTTTATCTTTCAAGAAATGAGTCAACTCACTTTGCAACATGTGTTTTACACTCATAGTTGCTAGGGTAATCATTTTGATGTTCGCAAACAAAGTTTCAAACTTGTTTAGAATGAAAAATACATAAATTATATTGGAGAACACAACTGTTCAAATCAAGATCTAAATCTTTAGATTTAGTTTTGGATATTATCGAAGTATGTCATGCCTTATGTCAAAAGTTATGAAATCAAAATAGTAAAATACTTTATGTAAGTAAAATAAAGTATGTTGATGGGTTGTGATAAAGCCTCAATATTATATGATAGGATATGCATATTTGACATGATTATAGTTTAAATGTCTTAATGAAAGTACATATTTGATGTAAACATGTTGTTTATGTGAATTTATATTGTTTGAGTTACATACAAAAAGTATTAAATTTTATATATTTTATAACATGTATATTCTATTGAATCAAACGGTTTTTTAATGTAATGCTAGGTGTTCTAATAGATGGAAAAATTATATTTACATGTAGGGAAATTAGAAGAAGGGTAGTTTAAATTTTAAATAGATTTTCTATAATTTTAAAGTGTTTAGTGAGTTGAACAGTAGACCCATTATAGTCAGCCCATTATTTGGTTGCATACCAGCCCATTCTAATGGGGGTATTTAAAGAGAGAGAGAGGAGAGAGAAAAGGGGGGAAGCACACATGATCAGCATAAAGTAGGACTCATAGAGAGAAGATAGAGGGTGACGAGCAGAAGGACGAGAAATCACTATAGTGACAACCACAATGATGATGGCAGTGACAACATTGATGGTGGTGATGAGTCCTATTCTATGTGACATGTAGAAAAGGGGCTGAGCATAGTACTGGTGGCTCTCATGATGGACAACAATAGTGGTGACAATAGCGGCAATGCTGGAAACTCCCATTTTACGTGACAAGTAAAGGAGGAGACGAGCATAGTGATAGTGGCACTCATGATGGCAACAGTAGCAATGGTGGCAACAGCGGTAGCGGCTACGAACTCTAGTTTGGCGTGATAGGCAGAGGAGGAGATAAGCATAGTGGTAGCGGCAACAATGATGATAATATGCTCTCGACAGCAACAACAGTAGTTATACTCTCAAGCTTCGAATTTAATGTTTTAGTTTTTGCAAGTGTTTAGTTCTATATTTCTTTTTCTTTACGAATGCTACAAATAGGGGATTCTATGAGATTTTCAACACTCATAGAATTTCAACACACTAATTGTGTATTTTTTGCAATTGTCAATACAATCTAGGGTTCCCTCCCATACACAAGTTTAGTGCTTTGATGAAAATCACATCATCAAGTAAAATTTTTCATATGCCAATTATTTTAGGACACCCCTTTCTAGCAACGACCAAGGCAAATATCAATTGCGCAAATGGAGTAGTTGATTTTTCTATGAAAAGTAGAACAATATCAATTGATATATTTAAGACTGCAAAATGTCCTGATTTTAGAAGTTAATGTAGAATGTAATATTTAGGTATTATTGATGAATGCATATGCCAAAATGAAAGAGATATTAGTCAAATGATTGACACACCTAGCATATTAGTATCCTCAGCCACAATAGACCCACAACACGATGAAAATATAGAGCTTAAATCATTACAAAAATCTTTGAAATACATATATTTAGGAGAAAATGATACCTTACTTGTTATCAAAGCCTCTTATTTGACTAATAAATAGAAACAATTGATTATTGAAGTATTGAAAGAATATAAAGAGGCAATAGGATGAACAATTACAAACCTGAAAGGTTTAGATCTAAATATTTGCATGTACCACATTTATGTAGAAAAAATTCTAGGCCAAGTCGAGAGATGCAAAGATGATTGAACCCTAATATAAAAGAAGTTGTGAAAAATGAAATAATTAAATGGTTAGATTCAGATATTATCTATGCGATTTCTAACAGCCAATGAGTTCATCCTATGCAGGTGGTGCCTAAAAAGCCATCTTACTATTGTACAAAATAAAAAAGGAGAGAAAGTGAAAACTAGATTGCCTACAACATGGAGAGTATGCATAGATTATTGAAAGCTAAATATAGTCACTGAAAAGGATAATTTTCCCCTTCCTTTTATTGACCAAATTCTAGAAAAATTGGTAGGACAATAATATTTTTGCTTCCTAGATGGGTATTTAGGGTATACCTAGATTGCTACATAACCTGAGGATCAGGAGAAGACGACCTTCACCTGCCCTTTTAGGACATTCGCATTTAGATGAATGCCCTTTGGCTCGGGCAATGCCCCTGTCACTTTCCAATGGTGCATGATGGTTATTGATAAGTATTCATTATCATGAGTTAATAATTAGTAAATAATATAGTTTTAGCCTTAACTCATGATAAATAGACTTATATTTGTGTTAAAGTGTGAAAAGTGGTTTTCAATTGATTAACATGAAATTTTGGCTAATTATGTGATTTTTTATGAATTTATATAATTTTTATAGTCTTATTTTTCAGATAAATGAAGAAAAAGAAATTAAAATAAAAATATAGCAAAAGGGGAGGACCCGCCGGCCAGCCGGGCCCGCAAGTGGGTCAAAAGCACAGTCAGAGGGAGCTGCGGGTAAGGGCTCGAGCGGCTAGGACCGATAGGGGCACACGTGCGCCACTCCCCTTCCATGTCACTAGTGGCCAACAGACTGTGGGGCAAGGAGTGGTCACACAAGTGATGTGAGATTAAACCCACATCACACCTTCCCCCGAAAAGGCTTCAATGGTAGGCAACCGGCACGGGTTCAAATCGTCTTAGAGCCAAAGCTCGTATTTTTATCTGATTATCGCGACTTTCTTACAAATCACCAATAAAGGATTAGGCTGCTAGAATCGCTGGATCATCGAAGAAAATTTCATCAACGAAATTTGCAGAGCATTGTTACTAAAATTGTTGAACGATTCGTAATAAAAGAATCACAAATTCATTGAGTAAATGATCTCTGATTGATCGAAAAACAAGCCGTCGTCAGGAAGAGGACAATTCGTTAGGAGACGAGTCGCCACCTTCTGAGAGCGTAACGGTTGCGATGAAGAGCCTCCTCTTACTGCGCAAATCTGAGGATGAAGCTCCTTGACACAAGCCCCACCTCTATCTAGCTCCTCTCTGTCGGGTGACAGCCGCTAGAGAGCCACAAAGTCGCCGTTTTTCTACTTTGCCGAGTGACAACTGCTACAGACAATTCGACAACTCATTTAATTAATCTCTAGACTTTGCAAGGAGATCTAGAGATTGCCCACGTCGTTCTTGTCCAAAGAAAGCCTTTAAGTCTGTGGACACTACACGATGATTCTCCTAAACGCTTAGGATTCAAGTGCATTGCTGACGCATCACTGCCACGATGTCAGAACTCTATTTTCCTACTTTCAACTTAATTTCTACTTCATTTAGTGATAATTTATGTGATTTAAAATTTTCAAGTTATACTTCATTCAATTACGATTCTTCCGGCTTTTACAAATCTTAATTTGATCAATTAAATCATCTATAATCACTTACGTAAGAATCGTCGAGCGAAACTCTGTTTCTACCTGATTCGCATTCATCGGACGATTCTCCTATCATATCAGAAAATATAACTGACGTGACTTAGTCATTGTATAGTAAATCATGTAAATTTAAAATTTATAAAACTAGAAAATACTAATTTTCAGATATTTAGAAGTCTTTATAGATAATTATTCAGTATTCGGTCCATCTTTTGATCAATGTCTTACAAATTTACAAAAGGTGCTTGCTAGGTGTGTTGAAAAAAAACTAATATTAAGTTGGGAGAAGAGTCATTTTATGATTGAGGGAGTAGTGTTGAGCCATATTTTCAGTGAGAGAAGATTAGAGGTAGATAAAGTAAAAGTAGATATCATAGCCAAATTACCCCCACCACTAACAATTCAGTAGATTAGATCTGTCTTTGGGAATGCAGGTTTCTACCGCATGTTTGTACATAATTTTTTAAAAATTACAAAACCATTAACACAACTATTAGCTAAGAATCTGATTTTTAGATAGATGACCACTGTTTAAAAATATTTAATATATTTTAAATAGCATTGATCACTGATGTGCACTTGTTGTTGTGTTTAAATGCACACTACCTAATAAAATTTATAACTAAGACTTAATAAAATTTAGTATAGAAGTAAGTATCAGGTCAAACATAGGGAGATTAATTAATCTGTCGTGAAAACTAATTTAGTTTATATATAAAGTGATTTTAATATTTTATTAATAGTTAATAGAAATAATAAAATAGAAGGGTGAGGTGAGAAGAATAAAGGAAGGGAAGTAGAGAAAAGGAAGGAAGAAGGGAGAGAAGTGCAAAAGGAAGAGAAAGAGAGAGGAAGAGAGAAAGCTCTCACAAGAGAGAGAAGGGATGAGATCTCTTGCGAAAGAGAGAGAAAAAGAAAGGAGGAGAGAAAGCTCTCACAAGAGAGAGAAGGGATGAGATCTCTCACGAAAGGGAGAGAAAGAGAGAGGAAGAGAGAAAGCTCTTATGAGAGAGAAAAGAGATGAGATCTCTCATGAAAGGAAGAGAAAGAGAGAGGAGGAGAGAAATCTCACGTGAGATAGAGAGAGAGAAAAGTCTCATGAGAGAGAGAGAGGGAGATCGATCAAGAGAGAGAAAGAAAAGGAGATTGATCAAGAGAGAGGGAGAAAAAGGGAGAGATCTCACGAGAGATGGAGAGAGAAGAGAGGTCTCACGAGAGAGAGAGAAATAAGACGAAAATAAAGAAAGAGGGAAATATGATCAACCCATTTTCTCGAACAATGTGTGTTCGAGGATTCAGACACATGATATGAGGTCAATTGTGAATGTCTTCAGTTTGTTTTAACAGTTGAACTCTCATTAATCAGTCTTTAATCTTGGTGATAATGTATTCGAAAATAGAAAAATACCCATTATTCGTGGACCGTCAGGAATGTGAGTACGCCAAGATTCAACTATGAAAATTAATAGAAAATAAGTTGAAAACAATCTTAGCTTGATCATAGATGAGTTTTGGAAGATTCAAACTAAGAACGAAGATCATTCATCAAGTTTTGAATTAGTTCTACTCATTTCAATCGAAATGTGCATGAAACGGAAAGAACTTGTCGTAAAATGTAAATAAATGACAAAAGTAGGTAAGTAAATGTTGAAAGAAGGAAATAAATAATTACCCAAATTTGGTCTGTCTCTTGGACAACTAGAGATACCAGTGTGACGGCTTGATTTTGTCTAGACATGCCACACTACACTGGAAGTCACAAGCGTATCATTTGAAAGTGTTGTGCCACTTGTCGGAGAGATCCGCCGCAAGAGAGTTAACGACACTATCACCATCATCTGAGGGTGATAAGTCTTCATTATCATGAGTAAATAATTAGTAAATAATATAGTTTTAGCCTTAACTCATGATAAATAGACTTATATTTGTGTTAAAGTGTGAAAAGTGGTTTTTAGTTGATTAATGTGAATTTTTGGGTAATTATGTGATTTTACATGAATTTATATGATTTTTACAGTCTTGCTTTTGAGATAAATGAAGAAAAAGAAATAAAAATAAGACAAAATGAGGGGGAGACCCGCCGGCCAGCCGGGCCCGCAAGTGGGTCGGAAGCTCAGTCGGGGAGTAGCCGCGAGCAGGGGCTCGAGCGGCTTGGACCGGTAGGGGCACGTGTGTGCCACTCCCCTTCCACGTCACCGGTGGCTAGCCGGCTGTGGGGCAAGGAGTGGTCGTACACGCGAGAGAAGGGACTTTGTTTAGAAAGCTAACATTACTATATATTCACCTGAAAGATCGGCGCACAATCGATGTGGGACTAAACCTGCGTCACACCTTCCTCAGAAGGGGTGGACAACCGGCACGGGTTCGAATCTTCCCAGAGTCAAAATTCATATATTTTTATCTGATTACCGCGACTTTCCTACAGATCGCCGGTGAAGGATTAAGCAACGAGAATCGCTGGATCATTGGCGAAAATCTCGTCAACGCGATTCACGGAGCATTCCTACTAAAATTGCTAAACGATTCGCGATAAAAGGATTGCGAATCTATCGAGTAAATTATCTCCGATTGATTGACGAACAAGCCGTCGTCAGGAAGAGGACGATCCGCCGGGAGACGAGTTGTCACCTCCTGAGAGCGTACCAAATGCGATGAAGAGCCTCCTCTTGCTGCGCGGACCTGAGGATGAAGCTCCCTGACATGCGCCCCACCTCCATCCAGCTCCTCTCCGTCAGGTGACAGCCGCCGGAGAGCTGCAAAGTCACCATTTTTCCGCTCCGCCGGGTGACAGCCGCCGGAGACGACTCGACGACCCATTCCATTGATCTCTAGACTTCGAAAGGAGATCTAGAGATTGCCCACGTCGTCTTTGTCCAAGGAGAGCCTTCAAGGCCGTGGACACTGCACGACGATCCTCCCGAACGCTCAGGATTCCGGTGCATCGCCGTCGCGACGCCGAAACTCTGTTTTCCTACTTTCAATTTACTTTATGCTTCATTTAGTGATACTTTGTGTGATTTTAATTTACCAAAATATACTTCGTTCAATTACGATTCTTCTAGCTTTTACAGATCTTAATTTGATTAATTAAATCGTCTGTAATCGCTTACGTAAGAATCACCGAGTGGAACTCTATTTTCGCCTGATTCGCGTTCGTCGGGCGCTGACGTCATCCTGACGTCCGCACCCTTATTTCCTTTTTTTCGTGAATTTTAAATATATTTCCTTGTCATTTCTTAGTATACAATTCATAGAAAATCGTATTCATTGAGAAAAATTCTGAATACCATATATTATATTACATCCCTATGATCGACCTGAAAAATTATTGCTATTTTTGGAAGTTTTATTGAATTATAATTGATATATTTGTTTAGAAATACTTCTAAATATCCGAAAATTCGTATTTTCTAGTTTTATAAATTTTAGATTTGCGTGATTTAATATACAACGACTGAGTCACGTCAGGGGGGAGAAAGGAAGAGTTGACCACTCGCCAGAAGCCTTAGTACAGTTGGAGGAGGAAAAACTTGTTGATTGCCAGAATCATTGATCATGCAAAAGGAGGGAGGAAACAGATTGTTGTATTCGTGACTACCATTAGGATTTTAAAGATAATCTAATGTCTATTTTATCAAATAATAATCAATTATTATCTTTATATCCCTAATGATAATACGTGCGAGAACTTAAGTTCCAAATATCATGGCACGTCGGGAGCCACTAGATCAAATATGCTTGGTCACGTGGCACATTGAGCAATGCAAGATCAACTCACCGCAAACTGCTACTGATTGGGAACTTAAGTTATAGTACCATGATGCCTCCTAGTCATCAGATCATCCTTTAAGGCTACATGCGTGCTAAGTGTTGTCGGATTCATGAACCGTCGATAGATTGCTTTACACATCTAGTATCTTGGTGATTTGCTAGCCGTAGGATCTAACTAATCTGATGACGTGACTTGCTGAATACCACTAGATCACACCGCGCTCTAAATGGTTGTGTTGAAATGGACGAAATGATTAGGTCCCACATTGGAAATATTTCGGTGCATGAGCTGAATTTAAATCAAAGCTATGCCCTCTAAGCACATATCTTTTCTCACAAAATAAAATAATGCCTAGGACCATTTTGGGAGATACCAAAAAGGTGATCCGCCCTCGTGCACACGTGTATGGATGCTTCTTCCCAACAATTAATTGGCCACTAAGACATGGAAGGGGAGTGACGCACACGTGCATGGAGCAAGTCCTTTGCCACTTGAGCCCAACTTGTGGTTCACTCAGTTTGGGTTTATCTGTTCATCCATAGCACCACTTTGAGTCAACTATCAAGTGTCGGCTTGCCAATAGGTGGAACATTTTTTTATATTTTATTATTTTATATTTTTAAATAATCTAAAATTATGCTAAATATTTTAACTTCAAACATAAAAAATTAACAATATATCCTATATTTATTCTGCATATTAAATAGATAAAATCAAATAATAAAACTAATTAAAACACAAAAATCTAGCTTTAACAATTATAGCCTCTATTCTATGCGCACTTGACTAGTCACTACTATTTGAGATTGTGTGACGACTCTAATTATGTTATTGGTGCAGTGTTAAGTCAACAGATTGACAAAAAACCTATAGTGATATATTATGCTAGTCAAACCATATCTAGAGAACAATTTAACTATACAACCACAAAAAAAGAACTATTAGCTATTGTTTTTGCCCTTAAGAAATTTTGATCATATCTTCTAGGAGCCAAAATTATTATTTATTCCAACCATTCAGCATTGAATTATTTACTCACCATGTGAGAAACCAAACCTAGGCTGATTCGTTGGATCCTTCTACTATAGGAATTTGATATTGAAATTCGAGATAAAAAAAGGTTTAAAAATATAGTAGTAGACCATTTGTCATGATTAAACAATACTAATAACACCCCACTACATAATTTCTTCCCTAATGAATAGCTAGTTACAGTAGCACAAACAAGCCCACCATGGTATGCACATATTGTTAACTATCTACTCACAGGACGACTCCTCATTGACTGGTCAAAATCTGTCAAAGATTTCTTATTTTTTAAATTAAAATATTACTCTTGAGATGATTAAAAATTATTTTATTTAGGACCTAATCTGATTTTTAGATGGTGTGTACCTAAAGAAGAATATAAAAGTACATTAGATTTCTATCATACTTTAGTGTATGGTAGCCACTTTTTAAGTCGTAGAACTGCAGCCAAGGTTTCGAAAAGTGGGTTTCATTAGCCCACTTTATTAAAAGACTCATTTGGATATTGCAAAACCTATAGTAAGTGTCAAGCATCCGTTAACATCTCCAAGCGAGATGTTATGCCTTTAAGTTTAAGTTCAGTAGTAGAACTCTTCACCATATGGGGCATTGACTACATGGGACCTTTCCCCCAATCTTTTGGATATGAATATATTCTCTTAGCTGTTGATTATGTGTCTAAGTGGGTGGAAGAAATACCCACTCAAACCAATGACCATAAAGTAGTCATTGGATTTATTCAAAGTCATATTTTTTCTTGATTTGATTGCCCACAAGCCATCATCAGTGATGGATGGAAACATTTTACAGCTAATCAATTTTGTTCTCTTGATGAAATATGGGGTGAAGCACAAAATGACCACCTCATATCATCCTCAATCCAATCGGTAGCTGGAGGTATCTGATAAGTCTTCATTATCATGAGTTAATAATTAGTAAATAGTATAGTTTTAGCCTTAACTCATGATAAATAGACTTATGTTTGTGTTAAAGTGTGAAAAGTTGATTTCAATTGATTAACATAAATTTTTGGGTAATTATGTGATTTTATACGAATTTATATGATTTTTATAATCTTACTTTTGAGATAAATAAAGAAAAAGAAATTAAAATAAAAATAAGACAAAATAGGGGGGACTCGTGACGTGACTTAGTCGTTGTATATTAAATCATGCAAATCTAAAATTTATAAAACTAGAAAATACGATTTTTCAGATATTTAGAAGTATTTCTGAACAAATATATCAATTATAATTTAATAAAACTTCCAAATATAGCGGTAATTTTCTAGGTCGATCACAGGGATGTAATATAATATTTGGTAATTATTCAGATTTTTTCTCAATGAATACGATTTTTTATGAATTTATACTAGGAAATGAAAAGGAAATATATTTAAAATTCACGAAAAAAGGAAATAAGGGTGCGAACGTCAGGATGACGTCAGCGCCTGGCGAACGCGAATCGGGTGGAAACAGAGTTCTACCCGGCTATTCTTTCGTAAGCGATTACAAACGATTTAATTAATCAAATTAAGATCTGTAAAAGCCGGAAGAATCGTAATTGAATGAAGTATATTTTGGTAAATTAAAATCACACAAAGTTTCACTAAATGAAGCGTAAATTAAGTTGAAAGCAGGAAAACAAAGTTCCGATGTTGCGACGGCGATGCGTCAGCGATGCACCAGAATCCTGAGCATTCAGGAGGATCGTCGTGCAGTGTCCACAGCCTCGAAGGCTCTCCTTGGACAAAGACGACGTGGGCAATCTCTAGATCTCCTTGCGAAGTCTAGAGATTAATGAAATGGGTTGTCGACTCAACTCTGGCAGCTGTCACCTGGTGGAGCGGAAAAACGGCGACTTTGTGGCTCTCTGGCGACTGTCACCTGACGGAGAGGAGCTGGATGGAGGTGGGGCGCGTGTTAGGGAGCTTCATCCTCAGGTCCGCGCAACAAGAGGAGTGATAAGTCTTCATTATCATGAGTTAATAATTAGTAAATAATATAGTTTTAGCCTTAACTCGTGATAAATAGATTTATATTTGTGTTAAAGTGTGAAAAGTGGTTTTCAGTTGATTAATGTGAATTTTTGGGTAATTATGTGATTTTTACAGTCTTACTTTTGAGATAAATGAAGAAAAAGAAATAAAACTAAAATATTGCAAAATGAGGGGACCCGCTGGCCAGCCAGGCCCGCAAGCGGGTCGGAAGCTCAGTCAAGGAGTAGCCGCGAGCAGGGGCTCGAGCGGCTTGGATCGATAGGGGCACGTGTGCGCCACTCCCCTTCCACGTCACCAGTGGCCAGCCGGTTGTGGGGCAAAGAGTGGTCGTACACGCGAGAGAAGGAACTTTGCTTAGAAAGCTAACATTACTATATATTCGCCCGAAAAATCGGCGCACAACCGATGTGGGACTAAACCCGCGTCACACCTTCCTCAGAAGGGGGCGGACAACCGGCGCGGGTTCGAATCCTCCTAGAGTCAAAATTCATATATTTTTATCTGATTATCACACTTTCCTTCAGATCGCCGGTGAAGGATTAAGCAACGAGAATTGCTGGATCATCGGCAAAAATCTCGTCAACGCGATTCGCGGAGCATTGCTACTAAAATTGCTGAACGATTCGCGATAAAAGGATCGTGAATCCATCGAGTAAATCATCTCCAATTGATCGACAAACAAGCCGTCGTCGGGAAGAGGACGATCCGCCGGGAGACGAGTCGCCACCTCCTGAGAGCATACCAAATGCAATGAAGAGCCTCCTCTTGCTGCGCTGACCTGAGGATGAAGCTCCCTGACACGCGCCCCACCTTCATCCAGCTCTTCTCCGTCGGGTGACAGCCGCCGGAGAGCCACAAAGTCGCCGTTTTTCCGCTCCGCCGGGTGATAGCCGCCGGAGACAACTCGACGACCCATTCCATTGATCTCTAGACTTTGAAAGGAGATCTAGAGATTGCCCACGTCGTCTTTGTCCAAGGAGAGCCTTCGAGGCCATGGACACTGCACGACGATCCTCCCGAATGCTCAGGATTCCGGTGCATCGCCGACGCATCGCCGTCGCGACGCCGAAACTATATTTTCCTGCTTTCAATTTACTTTACGCTTCATTTAGTGATAATTTTTGTGATTTTAATTTACCAAAATATACTTCGTTCTATTATGATTCTTCTGGCTTTTACAGATCTTAATTTGATTAATTAAATCGTCTGTAATTACTTACGTAAGAATCACCGGGCGGAACTCTGTTTCCGCCCGATTCGCGTTCGCCAGGCGCTGACGTCATCCTGACGTCCGCACTCTTATTTCCTTTTTTTCGTGAATTTTAAATATATTTCCTTTTCATTTATTAGTATAAAATTCATATAAAATAGTATTCTCTGAGAAAAATTCTGAATAATTACCAGATATTATATTACATCCTTGTGATCGACCTGGAAAATTACTGCTATTTTTGGAAGTTTTATTGAATTATAATTGATATATTTGTTCAGAAATACTTCTAAATATCCGAAAATTCGTATTTTCTAGTTTTATAAATTTTAGATTTGCGTGATTTAATATACAACGACTAAGTCACATCAAGGAGGTTCTTCATCACATCTGGTACGCTCTCAAGAGGTGGCGACTCGTCTCCTAGCGGATCGTCCTCTTCCCGACGACGACTTGTTCGTCGATCAATCGAAGATGATTTACTCGATGGATTCGCGATCCTTTTATCGCGAATCGTTCAGCAATTTTAGTAGCAATGCTCCCCGAATCGTGTTAACGAGATTTTTGCCAATGATCCAACGATTCTGGTTGCTTAATCCTTCACCGGTGATTTGCAGGAAAGTCGCGATAATCAGATAAAAATATGAGTTTTGGCTCTGAGAGGATTCGAACCCGTGCCGGTTGCCCCCGCCTCTTCTGAGGAAGGTGACGGGTTTAGTCCCACATCGGTTGTGCGCCGAATTTTCGGGCGAATATATAGTAATGTTACATTTCTAAGCAAAGTCCCTTTCTCGTGCATGTACGACTACTCCTTGCCCCACAGCCAACTGGCCACCGGTGACGTGGAAGGGGAGTGGCGCACACGTGCCCTCATCAGTTCAAGCCGCTCGAGCCCCTGCTCGCGGCTACTCCCTGACTGCGCTTCCGACCCGCTTGCGGGACTGGCTGGCCGGCGGGTCCCCCCATTTTGCAATATTTTTATTTTTATTTCTTGTTCTTCTTTTATCTTAAAAGTAAAACTGTAAAAATCGTATAAAATCACATTATTACCCAAAAATTCACGTTAATCAACTGAAAACCACTTTTCACACTTTAACACAAATATAAGTCTATTTATCATGAGTTAAGGCTAAAACTATATTATTTACTAATTATTAACTCATGATAATGAAGACTTATCAACCCGCCAGCCAGCCAGGCCTGCAAGTAGGTTGGAAGTGCAGTTGGCGAGTAGCCGCAAGCAGGGGCACGAGCGGCTTGGACCGATAGGGGCATGTGTGCGCCGCTCCCCTTCCACGTCACTGGTGGCCAGCCAACTGTGAGGCAAGGAGTGGTCGTACATGCACGAGAAAGGGACTTGCTTAGAAATGTAACATTACTATATATTCACCTGAAAATTCGACGCACAAGTGATGTGGGACTAAACCCGTGTCACCTTCCCTAGAAGGGGCGGCAACCAGCGCGGGTTTGATTCTTCCTAGAGCCAAAATTAATATTTTTTATCTGATTATCGCGACTTTCCTGTAGATCACCGGTGAAGGATTAAGCAACCAAAATTATTGGATCATTGGCGAAAATCTCGTCAATGCAATTCACGGAGCATTGTTACTAAAATTGCTGAACGATTCACGATAAAAGGATCGTGAATCCATCGAGTAAAGCATCTCCGATTGATCAACGAACAACCCGTTGTCAAGAAGAGGACAATCCACTAGGAGACGAGTCACCACCTCCTAAGAGTGTACCGGATGCGATGAAGAGCATCCTCTTGCTGCGCAGACCTGAGGATGAAGCTCCCTGACATGCACCCCACCTCCATCCAGCTCCTCGCCGTCGGGTGACAGCCATCCGAGAGCCACAAAGTCACCATTTTTCCGCTCCGCCGGGTGACAGCCGCCGGAGACGATTCAACGACCCATTTCATTGATCTCTAGACTTCGCAAGGAGTTCTAGAGATTGTCCACATCGTCTTTGTCCAAGGAGAGCCTTCGAGGCTGTGGACACTGCACGACGATCCTCTCGAATGCTCAGGATTCCGGTGCATCACCACCGCGACGCCGGAACTCTATTTTCCTGCTTTCAACTTAATTTTCATTTCATTTAGTGATAATTTGTTGATTTTAAATTTACCAAGATATACTTCATTTCATTACGATTCTTCTGGCTTTTACAGATCTTAATTTGATCAATTAAATTATCTGTAATCGCTTACATAAGAATCACCAGGCAGAACTCTATTTACGCCCGATTCGTGTTCGCCAGGCGCTGACATCATCCTGATGTCCGCACCCTTATTTCCTTTTTCTGTGAATTTTAAATATTTTCCTTTTCATTTCCTAGTATACAATTCATAGAAAATATTATTCTTTGCAGAAAATTCTGAATAATTACTAGATGTTATATTACATCCCTGTGATCGACCTAAAAAATTATTGCTATTTTTGGAAGTTTTATTAAATTAAAATTGATATATTTGTTCAGAAACACTTTTAAATATCCAAAAAAAATTATTTTCTAGTTCTATAAATTTTAGATTTACGTGATTTAATATACAACGACTAAGTCACGTCAGTATCCAATAGAGAAATTAAACATATCCTAGAAAAGATAGTACGACTAGATAAGAGAGTCTGATGTGCATGCTTAAATGATGCTCTTTGAGCATATAAGACTGCCTATAAGACACCTCTAAATATGTCCCCATTTAGGCTAGTATTTGAGAAATCACGTCATCTCTTGATTGAATTAGAACATAAGGCATATTGAGCTATCTAAAAATTAAACTTAGATTTAGTTCAAGCAGGTCAAAATAGGATATTACAATTAGAAGAGCTAGATGAACTCCGAAATGAGGCAAATGAAAATTCGAAGATTTCTAAAGCCAAAACTAAGGCATTTCATGATCGACACACACATCATCAATAGTTCTCTTTGAATTAGAGAATTTGGCTTTACAACTCTAGGATTTGCCTCTTTTCTGAAAAATTAAAATCTAGGTGGGATGGACCATATAATATAATCAATATAGAAGAACATGGTTCATTGAAGATCCTAAGTCAAGCCAAACTTTCAAGATTAATGCCGAAATACTTAGACCTTACTTTGAGCATGAACTTAAACCAAAAAGAGAATCTATTTCTCTACAATGATTTTGACAAACAAAATCTGTCTAGCAAATGACATTAACTTTAGCACTTACTGAGAGGCAACTCAGGCCATATTTGGTTTCTTTTGTTCTATTCTATTCTTGTTTTGCATATTCTAGTAGCTAACTGTTAGTTAATGCAGAACTTCTTTTTAGCCAGAACTCAATTTCAACAAGTTTATAATTATTGCTGTGACAATCTTCATATAATCGTCGATAGTAATCTCTCTTATACCCCTCCATACTTTTGTTTTAGTATTAGCATATTTTATACCATTGAGGACAATGTTGTCCTAAGTTGAGGGGTGATAATTTCAAAATGTTGCATATATTTGATACCATTGATTTCAGAATGTTGCACTCATTTCAAAAATATTGCACACATGTTTGCAAACTCACAGAGAATTTCAGAATGCATATTTTTCATTTTGACTATATGACTGTGCCAAATTGAGGTAGTAGAAATGATTTTGGACCTAAACATGTTAAGATAGTCAGCTAGATTAGTACCAAGAAGAGAGATTGTTCATATCAAAATACTCTCAAGGTACATAGTAAGTTGCATGGAGTAGATCTTATAGAATTACATTTCAAGTCTTGACTTTCATGATCTTCTTACTATGAGAGAATCTTGTAGAAAACTTAGTTTGACTAAAGTCATAGAAACTCAATCAATGAAATTGTGAGGAGAAGAATCTTAAACCTTAGTACATTCTTGATAGATCATCTTACACAGCAAAGTGAAAGGCCTAAATAAAACACAAATACAGAATTTTCCACTTGTCCTATGGAGGCTATCCACATGCATGTTTAGGACAAGTTCAATAAGATGCCAATTTGCTATAGGGGTTTCCTGCTCGTCCCATGGAGGCTTTTCACATGCACGTTTTCAACATGTAAAGCACAAATTGGGAAAACCTACCTGCAAGTGAAAAAAAATGAAAAATAAAAAATAGAAAAATCACAAATTTCTATTAGAATGATGGTGTAATAAATAAGAGGTGAGATGGAATCTTCAAATCATATGCTCAAAGATTGTAATTATATGATAGAAGTTACTCTAAGGATGTAGATGAGCTTTCAATCTTGTAAGAGACAATGTTAGTAGAGGAAGAAATTTTAGTTTTGTAAGTGAAATGAAATGGAACCTATGCTAGTATCTCAAGGAGTATTCAAATACAGAAATCTCAATTCAACTACAAAATCTAGCAAAGAAATTGACAACATGGGAACGTCCATCATTTTGAACATCAATTTTTGCCATCATTAGATATTTATCAGTTGGCAACAGTCATGAAAACATGACATATTGTTAAGCTCAAAATTAATTCTAAAGATCATTACTAAAGAACTAGTAATGAGGTAAGTTGAGGGGTGTGATAAAACCTCAATATTATATGATATGATATGCATATTTGATATGACTACACTTTAAATGTCTTAATGAAAACATACATTCGATGTAAGCATGTTGTTTATGTGAATTTATATTGTTTACTAAATTACATATAAAAATATCAAATTTTATATATTTTATGATATGCATACTCTATTGAATCAAAAGATTTTTTTAGGCAATACTGGATATTCTAATAGATGGAAAAATTATATTTACATGTAGGGAAATTAAAAGAAGGGTAGTTGACATGACTCAGTCATTGTATAGTAAATCACGCAAATTTAAAATTTATAATACTAGAAAATACAAATTTTTGGATATTTAGAAGTATTTCTGAACAAATATATCAAGTATAATTCAATAAAACTTCAAAAAATAGTGATAATTTTCCAAGTCAATCATAGGGATGTAATATAATATTTGGTAATTATTCAAAAAAATTCTCAAAGAATACTATTTTCAATGAATTTTATACTAAGAAATGAAAGGAAATATATTTAAAATTCACGAAAAAAGAAAATAAGGGTGTGGACGTCAAGATGACATTAGTGACTGGCGAACGCGAATCGGATGGAAACAGAGTTCCGCCCGACGATTCTTACGTAATTAATTACAGACGATTCAATTGATCAAATTAAGATCTGTAAAAGCCGGAAGAATCATAATGTAATGAAGTATATCTTGATAAATTTCTGACGTGACTCAGTCGTTGTATATAAAATCACGCAAATATAAAATTTAGAAAACTAGAAAATACGAATTTTTGGATATTTAGAAGTATTTCTAAATAAATATATCAATTATAATTCAATAAAAATTCCAAAAATAGCGGTAATTTTCCAGGTCGATCACAGGGATGTAATATAATACCTAGTAATTATTCGGAATTTTTCTCAATGAATACGATTTTCTATGAATTTTATACTAGGAAATAAAAAGGAAATATATTTAAAATTCACGAAAAAGGGAAATAAGGGTGCGGGCGTCAGGATGACGTCAGCACTCGGCGAACGCGAATTGGGTGGAAACAGAGTTCCGCCCGGTGATTCTTACGTAAGCGATTTCAGACGAGTTAATTAATCAAATTAAGATCTGTAAAAGCCGGAAGAATCGTAATAGAACAAAGTATATTTTGGTAAATTAAAATCACAAAAACTATCACTAAATGAAGCGTAAAGTAAGTTGAAAGCAGGAAAACAGAGTTCCGGCGTTGCGACGGCGATGCGTCGGCGATGCACCGGAATCCTGAGCGTTCGGGAGGATCGTTGTGTAGTGTCCACGGCCTCGAAGGCTCTCCTTGGACAAAGACGACGTGGGCAATCTCTAGATCTTCTCGCAAAGTCTAAAGATCAATGAAATGGGTCGCTGAGTCGTCTCCGGTGGCTGTCACCCAGCGGAGCGGAAAAACGGTGACTTTGCGGCTCTCCGGCGGCTGTCACCCGACGGAGAGGAGCTGGATGGAGGTGGGGCGCATGTCAAGGAGCTTCATCCTCAGGTCCGCGTAGCAAGAGGAGGCTCTTCATCGCATCTGGTACGCTCTCAGGAGGTGGCGACTCGTCTCCCGGCGGATCGTCCTCTTCCCGACGACGACTTGTTCGTCGATCAATCGGAGATGATTTACTCGATGGATTCGCGATCCTTTTATCGCGAATCGTTCAGCAATTTTAGTAGCAATGCTCCGCGAATCGCGTTGACGAGATTTTCGCCGATGATCTAGCGATTCTGGTTGCTTAATCCTTCACCGGCGATCTGCAGGAAAGTCACGATAATGAGATAAAAATATATGAATTTTGACTCTGGGAGGATTCGAACCCGCGCTGGTTGTCCGCCCCTTCTGAGGAAGGTGTGACGCGGGTTTAATCCCACATCGGTTGTGCGCCGATTTTTCAGGCGAATAAATAGTAATGTTAGCTTTTTAAGCAAAGTCCCTTCTCTCGCGTGTACGACCACTCCTTGCCCCACAGCCGGCTGGCCACCGGTGACGTGGAAGGGGAGTGGCGCACACGTGCCCCTATCGGTCCAAGCCGCTCGAGCCCCTGCTCGCGGCTACTCCCCGACTGAGCTTCCGTCCCGCTTGCGGGCCCGGCTGGCCGGCGGGTTCCCCCCATTTTGCAATATTTTAGTTTTATTTCTTTTTCTTCATTTATCTCAAAAGTAAGACTGTAAAAATCATATAAATTCGTATAAAATCACATAATTACCCAAAAAATCACATTAATCAACTAAAAACCACTTTTCACACTTTAACACAAATATAAGTCTATTTATCACGAGTTAAGGCTAAAACTATATTATTTACTTATTATTAACTCATGATAATGAAGACTTATCACACCCCCACTCTTAAATCATTGCTAGTCCCTTAGCAATAGAATTACAAAAATAAAAATTTACGAATCTCAAACATCATATTTCAATACAGAAAGAAAAAAATACAATTAGAAATGATGCACCTTTAGACACTTTGGATTCTTATATCAAGTATTTAGGAATGATGTCAAGCACTTAAATGTTTAAACACTCCTTGGAATAACAATCTAGACTTCACTTCTTCTATTCACATCTTTATCACTTCTTCACTCATAGATGTATTTACAAGATGTTCCAATTATCAATACTCATCCAAGAATAATATTGATCCTACATTTACCTTTTTCTATGGCTTGATTTTTGAAGTTTGCACTATATTTCTTCTTTCTTTATATATAGTGGATAAGTAGCTTTTCCTGTAGATAAATTTCGACAATAAGAATGATGTCTCACACCCTCCATGTGTACTCTTCATTTTCAAGGCTTTCACTTTATCCACTTATTTTGCAGCAAGTGTTTTTCTATACACGATTTTCGACAATGAGAATGATGTCTCACACCCTCCATGTGTACTCTTCGTTTCTAGATTTTTCACATTGCTCTCTTTTTTTTTTTCTTTTTTTTTTTCGAAATAAGTGATTTCTCCTCACAAGTCCTATAGATCAGGGTGCAAAAATCTCCATTAAACTCAAATGATCAATCAAATTTTCACATCAAGTAAATATTATCCATCAAGATCATGAAGTGAATATCTGTAAAATCAAATCCGTGTTATCTATCATGTATCCAAGGAGTATTCTAACATTTCATGCTACTAGATCATTCTTTTGACTCAATAATAATCTTCCTAGTATCTTTTGGTATCAATCAATCTAATTGATTTAATTTTTCATGCATGCAATATGATGTAAGAGATTTGTAAATTAGATAGTTCTGACAGTTCTATTTTCTGTTTTCAGTTCTATTTTAGCAGCAATAAATTTGTCAAAAATAAATCAAAACTATCTTCGTTATAACTGTAATTTCGAATTTCAGTAATATATGTCTAGGGGATTGAAATGTGAGAAAAGGGTCTCTATAATTTCCAATTTCGGGTTATTTTTTCGTCTGCTGTTTTTGACAGTCTGTTGTTCTTGATAGAAAACCAGAAAATAGATGTTGCAGTTTTTTCGAATTCGGCGATCTTTTTTTATTTTTTATTTTTTTAGTTGCTGTTCTAAGTTGAATAAAATGCAAACACATTTTCTTAATCGTCCTACAGCATAAATTAATAATGAATACTTCACCCCCCAACTTAAAAATGACATTGTCCTCAATGACACAGAAAAATCGAAACAGAATATGCAGAAAATATAATTTTCAAGTGAAGCATGCATATATGCAAAGTTTAGCATTAAAAATGTTGTCATAAATGATAAAGCTCCGAAAGATATCACCTCAACCTCGTTTTTAATTTTCCACTTCGTCTTACACGCCTCCTCCTGCACTCTTTCGAAAAAACAAATACAGAAACAAGTATTGCAAAATTCTAAGAAAAATAGAGCTTAAAAAAAATCAAACAAAATGAAATAAAAACCATGGGTTGCCTCCCATGCAGCGCTGAATTTAATGTCTCCAGCTGGACTGCTTGATCTTACTCTTGAATTTCTTTTAATAATAAAATTTCTTTTTCTGCAAGGCGTTCATGTTCTATGTAATGTTTAAGCCGCTGTCCATTTACCTTAAAGTTATGATCACTTTTAGGATCTTTAATCATTACAGCCCCATGATCATATGTCTCTTCCACCACATAAGGCCCTTTCCATTTTGATTTTAATTTTCTTGGGAATAATTTCAGCCTAGAATCATATAACCACACTTTTTGTCCAACATCAAATTTTTTTCTGCTAATGTATTTATCATGAAAAGTTTTAGTTTTTTCTTTATATATTATATGATTTTCATAAGCTTCATTCCTCAACTCCTCTAGTTCATGTAACTGAAAAATTCTATGCCCACCAGCTGATTTTTCATTCATACATAAATTTTTTATAGCCCATAATGCTTTATGCTCTATTTCCATAGGAAGATGACATGGCTTTCCAAAAATGAGACGAAATGGAGACATACCTATGGGATTTTTATAAGCTGTTCTATAAGCCCATAATGCATCTTGTAATTTCGTGGGCCAATCTTTCCTATCTGGTCTAACTATTTTTCTCAAAATTCTCTGAATTTCCCTATTTGCTACTTCAGCTTGCCCATTTGTTTGGGGATGATATGGAGTGGCTACTCTATGGTGTACTCCATTCTTTTTCAACAGTTCTCTGAAATTTTTATTTGTAAAATGTGTTCCTCCATCACTAATAATCACTCTAGGACATCCAAATCTCGAAAAAATATTTTCCTGCACAAATTTCATCACGATTTTATGATCATTAGTTCTAGTAGGAATAGCTTCCACCCACTTCGACACATAATCAACAGCAAGCAAAATATATTCATATTTTTCAGCTGATGGGAAGGGACCCATGAAATCTATTCTCCATACATCAAAAATTTCGACTACTAACATGTTACTCATGGGCATTTCATCTTTTTTACTCATGTTACCTATAGATTGGCATGAAATATCTGTTCTACTAAATTCTATAGAATCTCTAATGATTGTAGGCCAATAAAAACCACATTGAAAAATTTTTGCAGCTGTTTTTCGTCCAAAGAAGTGTCCTCCACAGTTAGATGAATGGCACATGTTAATAATGCTATGGTATTCTTCTTCAGGAACACATCTCCTTAAAATTTGATCATTGCCCAAGTAATATAAATCAAGATCATGCCAAAAATAATTTCTAATCTTAGAAAAGAAATGATGTTTTCTATTCTTATCCCACTGTTCTAGAGTTTTTCCAGAAACCAGAAAATTAACAATATGTGCATACCATGGTGATGGTTGATGTTGAGCTGCCATCAATTGTTCATCTGGAAATGCGTCTTGTAAAGGTGCTGCATTTATTCCTGTGTCACTTAATCTAGAAAGATGGTCAGCAACAGCATTCTCGAAACCTTTTTTATCTTTTATTTCTAAGTCAAATTCCTGCAACAATAAAATCCATCTTAATAAACGTGGCTTTGCATCTTTCTTATTTAACAGATATTTTAATGCTGCATGATCAGTATAAATAATAATTTTAGCTCCCAAAATATATGATCTAAACCTTTCTAACAAAAATACTACAACTAACAACTCTTTTTCAGTCGTGGTATAATTTAATTGAGCATCGGATATAGTTTTACTAGCATATGAAATTACTATGGGTTTTGACTCTTTTGTTTGTCCTAGAACGGCCCCCACTGCATAATTCGATGCATCACACATTATTTCAAAGGGAAGGGACCAATCAAGAGCTTGTAAAATGGGTGCCTCAGTAAGTAATCTTTTTATTTCGGAAAAAGACTCAAAACATTTCTCATCAAAATTAAAAGGCACATATTTAGATAATAGCATGGTGAGAGGTTTAGAAATCTTCAAAAAATCTTGAATAAATTTTCTGTAATAACCTGCATGACCCAAGAAAGATCTAATCTGTTTTACTGAATTTGGAGGTTTCATTTTAGATATAATATCAATTTTTGCTCTATCCACCTCTAAACCCCTTTTACTCACAATATGACCCAACACAACTCCTTCTTTAACCATAAAATGTGATTTCTCCCAACTCAAAACTAATTTTTTCTCTATGCATTTCTCAAGTACATGCTGTAAATGATTTAAGCATTCATCAAATGATTCACCAAAAATAGAAAAATCGTCCATAAAAATTTCCATGCATTTTCCAATCATATCAGAAAAAATAGACAGCATACATCTTTGAAATGTGGCTGGAGCATTACACAGACCAAAAGGCATGCGTTTAAAAGCAAAAGTACCAAATGGACAAGTGAAAGTTATTTTTTCTTGATCTAAAGGGTTTATATAAATTTGATTATAACCAGAGTATCCATCTAGAAAACAAAAAAAGTTTTTTCCAGCTAATTTTTCTAGAATTTGATCAGTAAATGGTAGGGGAAAATGATCTTTTCTAGTAACTGAATTTAATTTTCTATAATCAATGCAAACCCTCCAACCGGTAGTTAATCTTGTTTGTATTTCATCCCCATTTTCGTTTTTTATAACCATGATCCCTGATTTTTTTGGCACTACTTGTGTAGGACTAACCCATTTGCTATCTAAAATAGGATAAATAATATCAGCAGCCAGCCACTTTAAAATTTCTTTTTTTACAATTTCCATCATGTTAGGATTTAATCTTCGTTGTGGTTCCCTGCTAGTTCTGGCCCCCTCCTCTAGATATATACTATGCATGCATACACTCATATCAATGCCCCTTAGATCGTTCATTTTCCAGCCCATAGCCTTCTTATTTTTTCGAAGTACATCTAATAATTCTTCTTCCTGTTCATCACTCAAATCAGCTGCAATAATAACAAGAAATGAATTATTTTCCTCCAAAAACATATATTTTAAACTAGAGGGAAGAGGTTTCAACTCTAAATTCAGATGATCTTCCTCTTTCTTTTCTCCCAAATTTATATTCTCTATTTCCTCTAATTCTTCCAGCACACAGTCATCAATAACATCTGGATCATCAAAATCATCTAGAAGATCTATGGTATGACAATCATATACTTGTGATTTCTTAAGATCATTTGGTACCTCAAAAATTTTAATTTCTACTGATTGATCTCCACATGAAATTTTCGCAATACCTGTGGGAAAATCAATATTCATCTTTGCTGTATGCAAAAATGGTCTCCCTAGGATGATTGGCATATCATAAAACTGTCCATTAAAATCCATTTCTAGCACTACAAAATCAGCTGGAAATTTACATCCTTTAACTGTCACTATCACATTTTCTAAAATACTTTTAGGATGTTTTATGGATCTATCAGCAAATTGTAAGGTAACAGTAGAAGGTTTAAGATTAGAAATATTAAATTTATCACAAATACTTGTAGGTAATAAATTAATACTAGCACCGGTGTCAAGTAAGGCATTCTGAAAAATGAATCCACCAATATCACACGAAATTAAAGGGGCACCTGTATCTCTCAATTTATATGGTAATTGATTTAATAATAATGCATTAGCATGCATAGATAATTTTTCTACTCTAGGTGCCCTTTTTGGTGTACACATTTCTTTCAAAACTCTAGCATATTCAGGAATATGTTCAATGGCAGTGAGTAAAGGAAGACTAATTTGCACATCTTGTAAAATTTTCTTTATTTCTTCATTGTGTTCCTTTTTCTTTCTTTGTCTAGGCTCTAGAGCTTTAGGAAATGGAATGGTTGTCCTCTCTTCCGAAATTTCCTGGGTAGAATCTATAAAATCCTCTTCTACTCCTATTTGATTTTGTTTTGGTTTGTCCACGTTTTCTTTTTCTTCTAGTGTTTGGGGATAAGGATCAGGTAAGATCTTACCACTCCTTAATGCATTCACTGTCCTAACATTTTCATTTCGTGGGTTTTTTCCTAGATTCATGCTACTAGACTCCTCTTGCTCAAATCCTATTGTTGGGTGGTTCCCTGGATTTTCTATGGGCTGACTAGGTAGCTGTCCCTCTTCTCTCTTATTCCCAAGAGCCTCTATAATTTGTTTCTGGTGCAGCATCATTTGATTCATAGTTTGTTGCATCATTTGGCTCATTTGCTGCATCATTTCCATAGCATCAGGTTGAATTTGAGAGGGCTGATTTTTCTGAAATCTGTTTTCTTGTTTTGGTCGAAATTTAGAGTTTGAATTGGGTCTAAGTGCTTCTGGATTTTGAATATTATTTGGGTCTCTCCATGAAAAATTATTCCTCCAATTAGGATTATAAGAATTTGAAAAAGGTTCCCTGTTTCTATTAAAACCGTGAGCTACTTGCACTTGTTCTTGCATAGGGTGAAATGATTGATCTAAATTATAACATTAAAATTCAGAATAATCATTTTCACCATACATAGGACCTGCACTATTCGAATTAAGTTGAGGGTTAAAAGGCTTTCTAATATTGTCAATAAGTAAATCAATTTTTTCTAATCTTTGATTAATCTGATTAGCCTCATTTCTAAGTTTAGAATCATCATCATGATGCAATTCATAAATTTCTCTCTTCTTATCCTTGTCATATAATTCAAAAGAGGCTTGATCTCTAGAATTTTCACTTAAATTCTCATAAAGACTATAAATCTCATCAGGAGTTTTCTCCATAAAAGCTCCTCCACATATAGAATCAACCTTATTTCTATGTTGTTTTAATAATCCATCATAAAAATTCTATTGAGTTGCCACTTGGGTATAGCATAATGAGGACACTTTCTAAGTAAATCTTTGAATTTTTCCCATGTCTCATGCAAAGTTTCTCCTAGTCTTTGAGAAAAACTCCATATATGTTTTCTCATATTTTGAGTTTTTCCTAAGGGATAAAATTTTCGAAGAAAGGCCTGTTCTATATCTTTCCAGCTAGTTAATTCTCTATCTAATGTGGATAGCCAATGACTAGCTTTGTCCCTAAGTGTATGAGGGAATAATTTCATCTTAATAATTTCCAGTGTAACTTGAGGGAGATTAACTAAATCACAGACCATATGAAATTTTTCTAAGTGCTGATGAGGTTCCTCTAAAGGCAATCCATGAAAATTAGGGAGCATTTGAAAAATTTCTAGATTTATTTTGAATTTAACAGTGGGTGCTAATGGGACTCTGATATTAGATGCTCTTTGAAATGAATCAGGGATATAATGATTTTTCATGGCCATAGGATTGTTCTCAGTTTGACCTGTACTTCCTTCAGGATCCATCAAAATTAATTTTTCTTTCAGATTTTTATTTTTGAATGAAATAATGAAAGGATTTTCTAGCCTTGGATGCAAGGATCTTCTACCATGCATAAAAAATCAATAAATTCGAAGGAAAAAGTTAGTAACTGTTACCCTCCTTCAGGATGCTCCAGTTCTTGCCATGCTTCTTTTCGTTCCCTTTTTCTAATAAAAATCGGCAAAAATAAAATAAAACAAGAGTTATTTTATTTTTTTTGTGTACTCTAAGAGAAAAACAGAAAAATACTAAATATTATGCAATACATCCCCGACAACGGCGCCAAAATTTGACGTGACTCAGTCGTTGTATATTAAATCACGCAAATATAAAATTTATAAAACTAGAAAATATGAATTTTTGGATATTTAGAAGTATTTCTAAATAAATATATCAATTATAATTCAATAAAAATTCCAAAAATAGCGGTAATTTTCCAGGTCGATCACAGGGATGTAATATAATATCTAGTAATTATTCAGAATTTTTCTCAATGAATACGATTTTCTATGAATTTTATACTAGGAAATAAAAAGGAAATATATTTAAAATTCACGAAAAAGGGAAATAAGGGTGCGGGCGTCAAGATGACGTCAGCACCCGGCGAACGCGAATCGGGCAGAAACAGAGTTCCGCCCGGCGATTCTTACGTAAGCGATTACAGACGATTTAATTAATCAAATTAAGATCTGTAAAAGCCGGAAGAATCGTAATAGAACAAAGTATATTTTGGTAAATTAAAATCACAAAAACTATCACTAAATGAAGCGTAAAGTAAGTTGAAAGCAGGAAAACAGAGTTCCGGCGTCGCGACGGCGATGCGTCGGCGATGCACCGGAATCCTGAGCGTTCGGGAGGATCGTTGTGCAGTGTCCACGGCCTCGAAGGCTCTCCTTGGACAAAGACGACGTGGGCAATCTCTAGATCTTCTCGCGAAGTCTAGAGATCAATGAAGTGGGTTGTCGAGTCGTCTCCGGCGGCTGTCACCCGGCGGAGCGGAAAAACGGCGACTTTGCGGCTCTCCGGCGGCTGTCACCCGACGGAGAGGAGCTGGATGGAGGTGGGGCGCGTGTCAGGGAGCTTCATCCTCAGGTCCGCGCAGCAAGAGGAGGCTCTTCATCGCATCTGGTACGCTCTCAGGAGGTGGCGACTCGTCTCCCGGCGGATCGTCCTCTTCCCGACGACGGCTTGTTCGTCGATCAATCGGAGATGATTTACTCGATGGATTGCGATCCTTTTATCGCGAATTGTTCAGCAATTTTAGTAGCAATGCTCCGCGAATCGCGTTGACGAGATTTTCGCCGATGATCCAGCGATTCTGGTTGCTTAATCCTTCACCGGCGATCTGCAGGAAAGTTGCGATAATGAGATAAAAATATATGAATTTTGACTCTGGGAGGATTCGAACCCGCGCCGGTTGTCCGCCCCTTCTGAGGAAGGTGTGACGCGGGTTTAGTCCCACATCGGTTGTGCGCCGATTTTTCAGGCAAATATATAGTAATGTTAGCTTTTTAAGCAAAGTCCCTTCTCTCGCGTGTACGACCATTCCTTGCCCCACAGCCAGCTGACCACTGGTGACGTGGAAGGGGAGTGGCGCACACGTGCCCCTATCGGTCCAAGCCGCTCGAGCCCCTTCTAGCGGCTACTCCCCGACTGAGCTTCCGACCCGCTTGCGGGCCCGGCTGGCCGGCGGGTCTCCCCCATTTTGCAATATTTTAGTTTTATTTCTTTTTCTTCATTTATCTCAAAAGTAAGAATGTAAAAATCATATAAATTCGTATAAAATCACATAATTACCCAAAAAATCACATTAATCAACTGAAAACCACTTTTCACACTTTAACACAAATATAAGTCTATTTATCACGAGTTAAGACTAAAACTATATTATTTACTTATTATTAACTCATGATAATGAAGACTTATCAATTTCAAATCAACAAATTATCACTAAATAAAACATAAAATAAGTTGAATGTAGGAAAATAGAGTTTCGGCATCGCGGCAACGATGCGTCGGCAATGCACCGGAATCTTGAGCATTTGGGAGGATCGTCATGTAGTGTCCACGGCCTTGAAGGCTCTCTTTGGATAGAGACGACGTGGGCAATCTCTAGATCTCCTTGCGAAATCTAGAGATCAATGAAATGGGTCATCAAATCGTCTCCAACGGTTGTCACCTGGCGGAGCAGAAAAATGACGACTTTGCGGCTCTTTGACGGCTGTCACCCGACGGAGAAGAGCTAGATAGAGGTGGGGCGTGTGTTAGGGAGCTTCATCCTTAGGTCTGTGCAGCAAGAGGAGGCTCTTCATCGCATCTAGTACGCTCTCAAGAGGTGGCAACTCGTCTCCTGGCAGATCGTCCTCTTCCCAACGACGGCTTGTTCGTCGATCAATCGGAGATGCTTTACTCGATAGATTCGCGATCCTTTTATCACGAATCGTTCAATAATTTTAGTAGCAATGCTCCGCGAATCGCGTTGACGAGATTTTCGCCGATGATCTAGCAATTCTGGTTGCTTAATCCTTCACCGGCGATCTGCAAGAAAGTCGCGATAATTAGATAAAAAAAATATGAGTTTTGGCTCTGGGAGGATTCGAACCCACCCGCGCCGGTTGCCCAGCCCTTTCTAGGGAAGGTGACGTGGGTTTAGTCCCACATCGATTGTGCGCCGAAGTTTCTGGTGAATATAAAGTAATATTACATTCCCGATCAAGTCTCTTTCTTGTGCGTGTACAACCACTCCTTGCCCCACAACTGGATGGCCACCGGTGACATGGAAGGGGAGTGGCGCACACGTGCCCCCATCGGTTCAAGCTGCTCGAGCCCCTACTTGCGGCTCCTGCCCAATTGCGCTTCTGACCCGCTTGCAGGCCCGGCTGGCCGGCGGGTCCCCCCCCCAATTCGTTATTTTTATTTTAATTTCTTTTCCTTCATTTATCTTAAAAGTAAGACTGTAAAAATCATATAAAATCGTATAAAATCACATAATTACCCAAAATTCACGTTACTCAACTGAAAAACTACTTTTCACACTTTAACACAAATATAAGTCTATTTATCATGAGTTAAGGCTAAAACTATATTATTTACTAATTATTAACTCATAATAATGAAGACTTATTAGTAGTTTAAATTTTAAATAGGTTATTTGTAATTTTTAAGTGTTTAATGACTTGAACAACTGACCCATTACAGCGAGCCCACTATCAGGTCATATATTAGTCCATTCTAATGGGGGGTATTTAAAGAGAGAGAGGAGAGAGAAAAGGGGGAAAGCGTGCACGTCAATAGAAATTAGGGCTCATAGAGAGAAGATAGAGGAGGGCAACGAGCAAAAGGACGCGAAATCACAACAATGACAACCACGATGATGATAATAACGGCAACATCAATGATGGCAGTGAGTCCCATGACAGCAATGGTGCTCATGACAACAATGGTAACAGTGCTGACGACAGCGATAGTGGCTGCAAAAACTCCTATTTTGTGTGACAGGCAAAGGAGGAGATGAGCACAATAGTAGTGGCACTCATGATGGTGACAACAACAGTGATGGTGACAATAATAGTGATTGCAAACTCTTATTTGGCATGATAAGTAGAGGAGGAGACAAGCACAGCAGTAGCAGCGACAATGACGACAATACGCTCTCAATAGCAACAACAATAGCTATACTCTCAAGCTTCGAATTTAATGTTTTAGTGTCTGCACGTGTTTAGTTCTATATTTCTTTTTCTTTACAAATGCTACAAATAGTGGATCTTGTGAGATTTTCAACACTCATCGAATTTCAACACACTTACTATGTATTTTCTGTAGTTGTCAATACAATCTAGGGTTCCCTCCCAAACATAGGTTTAGTGCTCTACTAGCAGCTTTCACCTTTGTCATTTTCCACAAACTTATAATATGTCTTATATCATTTTTCCTTTTGTTCCTCTGATTTTGAGTTTGTGAAAGATCTAGACAAGTTTATAGGTTTACTTTCCTCTTTCATAGCTTTTTGTCTTTTTAGTCTCACCCAAATATTTCATAGAAAATACTCATGCATCGCATAATACTAAGTTTTCTTTGTAGATCAACCCAAATCCACTATACGTTATAAATATTTGAAAGCATATTTTTTAGAGATTTGATTTTAATAAATTTTAAAATTGATTACTTCTTAAAATAATGACTAGAATAAGACCAGGTTGGCACACTATAAAAGTGTGCAGATCTATTATTAGTTAGAAGAGAGAAAATTATGAAGTACTTATTAGGACAACACTTGAACACATGGTAAATGTGACTTGGCATGTGACATGTGTTAATAATTGAAGAATTAAGTAATATGTGACAACAATCCTACACAAGATCATTGTGAAAAGAGTCCAAATCAAGATGACATACCATTAACTTGGTAAGTGCAAAATAGTCAAAATGCTTGAGTCACATGACAAAGTTTGACGAATTAAGTGATGGTAATCATATGACATAATATTTTGAGAAATCAAAATCATTCTAACACAGTATGATGTTAAAGCTAGATTTTTGTGTTTTAATTAGTTTTATTATTTTATTTTATTTTATTAACTTGTAGAATAAATATAGGATATATTGTAATTTTAAAAGTTTGAAGTTAAAATACTCAGCATAATTTTTTATTATTAAAAAAAAATCTTTTGCCCACTAGCAAGCCGGCACTTGACAGCTCACTTGGAGGGGCACTACGATCGAGTGGGTAGACCCAAACCAGGGGAGCCACGAGCTGCACTCAAATGGCAAAAGCCTCACTCCACGCAAATGTGTGTCATTCCCCTTCCACCTCCTGATGATCGACCAATCGTGGGGCAAGGAGCATCTGTATACACATGCGCGCATGAGGGCAAACCACCTTTTTGCCTTCTCCTATGATGGTCCTAGACATTATTTTATTTTGGGAGAAGGGATCTTTGTTGAGAAAGCGTAGCTTTGCTTTATATTCGGCACATGCGTCTGAAATATATCTAATGTGGGACTAAAAATTTTCATTTGTTTCTGTGCAGCCATCTAGAGCGGAGTGTGATCTAACAGTACGCAGAGAGCCACGTCATTAGATTACCTAAATCCTATGGCTAGCGAACCCCCACGATACTAGATGTGTAAAGTGATCCATCAGCGGTTCGTGAATCTGACGCCACTTAGTATTCACGTGGCCTTAAAGGCTGATCCAATGGCTAAGGAGTCGTCATAGTACTAGGAACTTAAGTTCCCAGTCTGTAGTGATTCACGGTGGGTTGATCTTGCATTGCTTAGCACTCCACATGACCAAGCAGATATGATCCAGCGGCTCTCAAAGTGCCACGATATTGAGAACTTAAGTTCTCGCACATATCACCATTAGAGATATAAAGACAATAATTGATTATTGACGTGACTCAGTCGTTGTATATTAAATCACGCAAATATAAAACTAGAAAATACGAATTTTCAGATATTTAGAAGTATTTCTGAATAAATATATCAATTATAATTCAATAAAACTTCCAAAAATAGCGCTAATTTTTCAGGTCGATCACAGGGATGTAATATAATATCTAGTAATTATTCAGAAATTTTCTCAATGAATACGATTTTCTATGACTTTTATACTAGGAAATGAAAAGGAAATATATTTAAAATTCACGAAAAAAGGAAATAAGGGTGCGGACGTCAAGATGACGTCAGCGCCCGGTGAACGCGAATTGGGTGGAAACATAGTTCTACCCGGCTATTCTTTCGTAAGCGATTACAGACGATTTAATTAATCAAATTAAGATCTGTGAAAGTCGGAAGAATCGTAATTAAACAAAGTATATTTTGATAAATTAAAAACACAAAAATTAATCACTAAATGAAGCGTAAAGTAAGTTTGAAAGCAGGAAAATAGAGTTCCGACGTCGCGACAACGATGCGTTGGCGATGCACTGGAATCTTGAGCGTTCGGGAGGATCGTCGTGTAGTGTCCACGGCCTCGAAGGCTCTCTTTGGACAAAGACGACGTGGGCAATCTCTAGATCTTCTCGCGAAGTCTAAAAATTAATGAAATGGGTCGCCGAGTCGTCTCTGGTGGCTGTCACCCGGCGGAGCGGAAAAACGGCGACTTTGCGGCTCTCCGGCGACTGTCACCTGACGGAGAGGAGCTGGATGGAGGTGGGGCGCGTGTCAGGGAGCTTCATCCTCAGGTCCGCGCAGCAAGAGGAGGCTCTTCATCGCATCTGGTACGCTCTCAGGAGGTGGCGACTCGTCTCCCGGCGGATCGTCCTCTTCCCGATGACGGCTTGTTCGTCAATCAATCGGAGATGATTTACTCGATGGATTCGCGATCCTTTTATCGTGAATCGTTCAGCAATTTTAGTAGCAATGCTCCGCGAATCGCGTTGACGAGATTTTCGCCGATGATCCAGCGATTGTTGCTTAATCCTTCACCGGCGATCTATAGGAAAGTTGCGATAATCAGATAAAAATATATGAATTTTGACTCTGGGAGGATTCGAACCCGCGCCGGTTGTCCGCCCCCTTCTGAGGAAGGTGTGATGCAGGTTTAGTCCCACATCGGTTGTGCGCCGATTTTTCGAGCGAATATATAGTAATGTTAGCTTTATAAACAAAGTTCCTTCTCTCGCGTGTACGACCACTCCTTGCCCCACAGTCGGCTGGCCACCGGTGACGTGGAAGGGGAGTGGCGCACACGTGCCCCTATTGGTCCAAGCTGCTCGAGCCCCTGCTCGCGGCTACTCTCTGACTGAGCTTCCAACCCGCTTGCGGGCCTGGCTGGCCAGCGGGTCCCCCCCTCATTTTGTCTTATTTTTATTTCTTTTTCTTCATTTATCTCAAAAGCAAGACTGTAAAAATCATATAAATTCATGTAAAATCACATAATTACCTAAAAATTCACATTAATCAACTAAAAACCACTTTTCACACTTTAACACAAATATAAGTCTATTTATCATGAGTTAAGGCTAAAACTATATTATTTACTATTTATTAACTCATGATAATGAAGACTTATCACACCCCCCAACTTAAATCATTGCTAGTCCCTTAGCAATGGAATTACGAAAATAAAAATTTACAAATCTCAAACATCATATTTCAATACATGAAAGAAAAAAATACAATTATAAATGATGCACCTTTAGACACTTTGGATTCTTATATCAAGTATTTAAGAATGATGTCAAGCACTTAAATGTTTAAACACTCTTTGGAATAATAATCTAGACTTCACTTCTTCTATTCACATCTTTATCACTTCTTCACTCATAGATGTATTTACAAGATGTTCCAATTATCAATACTCATCCAAGAATAATATTGATCCTACATTTTCCTTTTTCTATGGCTTGATTTTTGAAGTTTGCACTATATTTCTTCTTTCTTTATATATAGTGGATAAGGAGCTTTTCCCGTAGACAAATTTCGACAATAAGAATGATGTCTGACACCCTTCATGTGTACTCTTCATTTTCAGGGCTTTCACTTTATTCACTTATTTTGCAGCAAGTGTTTTTCTATACACGATTTTCGACAATGAGAATGATGTCTCACACCCTCCATGTGTACTCTTCGTTTCTAGATTTTTCACATTGCTCTCTCTTTTTTTTTCTTTTTTTTTTTCGAAATAAGTGATTTCTATTCACAAGTCCTATAGATCAGGGTGCAAAAATCTCCATTAAACTCAAATGATCAATCAAATTTTGACATCAAGTAAATACTATCCATCAAGATCATGAAGTGAAAATCTGTAAAATCAAATCCATGTTATCTATCATGTATCCAAGGAGTATTCCAACATTTCATGCTACTAGATCACTCTTTTGACTCAATAATAATCTTCCTAGTATCTTTTGGTATCAATCAATCTAATTGATTTAATTTTTCATGCATGCAATATGATGTAAGAGATTTGTAAATTAGATAGTTCTGATAGTTCTGTTTTCTATTTTCAGTTCTATTTTAGCAGCAATAAATTTGTCAAAAATAAATCAAAACTATCTTCTTTATAGCTGTAATTTCGAATTTCAGTAATATATGTCTAGGGGATTGAAATGTGAGAAAAGGGTCTCTATAATTTCAAATTTCGGGTTGTTTTTTCGTCTGCTGTTTTTGACAATCTGTTGTTCCTGATAGAAAACCAGAAAATAGATGTTGCAGTTTTTCTGATTTTTTTTTTATTGTTATTTTTAGTTGTTATTCTAAGTTGAATAAAATGCAAACACATGTTCTTAATCGTCTTACAGCATAAATTAATAATGAATACTTCACCCCCCAACTTAAATGACATTGTCCTCAATGACACAGAAAAATCGAAACAGAATATGCAGAAAATAGAATTTTCACGTGAAGGATGCATATATGCAAAGTTAAGCATTAAAAATGTTGTCATAAATGATAAAGCTCAGAAAGACATCACCTCAACCTCGTTTTTAATTTTCCACTTCATCTTACACTCCTCCTCCTGCACTTTTTCGAAAAAATAAATACAAAAACAAGTACTTCGAAATTCTAAGAAAAGCAGAGCTTAAAAAAAATCAAACAGAATGAAATAAAAACCATGGGTTGCCTCCCATGCAGCGCTGAATTTAATGTCTCCAGCTGGATGCTTGATCTTACTCTTGAATTTCTTTTAATAATAAAATTTCTTTTTCTGCAAGGCGTTCATGTTCTATGTAATGTTTAAGCCGCTGTCCATTTACCTTAAAGTTATGATCACTTTTAGGATCTTTAATCATTACAGCCCCATGATCATATGTCTCTTCCACCACATAAGGCCCTTTCCATTTTGATTTTAATTTTCCTAGGAATAATTTCAGCCTAGAATCATATAACCACACTTTTTGTCCAACATCAAATTTTTTTCTGCTAATATATTTATCATGAAAAGTTTTAGTTTTTTCTTTATATATTCTATGTTTTTCATAAGCTTCATTCCTCAACTCCTCTAGTTCATGTAGTTGAAAAATTCTATGCCCACCAGCTGATTTTTCATCCATACATAAAATTTTTATAGCCCATAATGCTTTATGCTCTATTTCCACAGGAAGATGACATGGCTTTCCAAAAATGAGACGAAATGGGGACATACCTATGGGATTTTTATAAGTTGTTCTATAAGCCCATAATGCATCTTGTAATTTCGTGGGCCAATCTTTCCTATCTGGTCTCCCTATTTTTCTCAAAATTCTCTAAATTTCTCTATTTGCTACTTCAGCTTGCCCATTTGTTTGGGGATGATATGGAGTGGCTACTCTATGGTGTACTCCATTCTTTTTCAACAGTTCCTTGAAATGTTTATTTGTAAAATGTGTTCCTCCATCACTAATAATCACTCTAGGACATCCAAATCTCGAAATAATATTTTCCTGCATATTCTATTTCGATTTTTTTGTGTCATTGAGGACAATGTCATTTTTAAGTTAGGGGGTGAAGTATTCATTATTATTTTTTTAGTAAAATAGATATTATCGATAATCTTTAAAATCCCAACAACAATTGTGAATACAGAATCCATTCTTCAATCTTTTTGCACAATCAATGTCTCTGGTGATCGGCAAGCTCATTCCTTCCTCCCCTGACTACATTCAAGGCCTCCAGCGAGTGGTCAGTGCTTCCCTTCTCCCCTTAGACGACAATGACAGTGTGGTTGACCCCTCTTTTGACGAATCTCTCTGACAAGTGATTTAGTGCTTCCAGACGATACTTCTGTGACTTCCGGCATGGTGTGACACGTTTGGACAAAAATAAGCCACCACACTAGTGTCTCCAATTACCTAGGAGGTAGACTAAACTTGGGCAATGATTTACTTCCTACTTTCAACATTTACTTATCTGCTTTTGTCATTTATTTATATTTTACAACAAGTTCTTTCCATTTCATGTACGTTTCGATTGAAATGAGTAGAACTAATTTAAAACTTGATGAATGATCTTTGTTCTTCTTCTGAATCCTCCGAAACTTGTCTAGGATCAAGCTAAGATTTTTTTAACTTATTTTCTATTGATTTTTAGAGTCGAATCTCGACATATTCACGTTCCTAGTGTTCTGCAAATAACGAGTATTTTTATATTTTTGAACGTAAAATCACCGAGATTAAAGGTGGATTAATGAGCATTTAATGGTTAAAACAAGCTGGAGACATTCACAGCTGATCTCATGTCATGTGTATAAATCCTCGAGCACACATTCGTTTGAGAAAATGAGTTGACTATATTTCTCTCTTTCTTCATTTTTGTCTTATCTCTTTCTCTTCCTTTCGCAAGAGATCTCATCCCTTCTCTTTCTCGTGAGAGCTTTCTCTCCTCCTCTCTCTTTCTCTCCTTTTGCAAGAGATCTCATCCCTTCTCTTGCTCATGAGAGCTTTCTCTCCTCCTCTCTCTCTCTCCTTTTCACAAGGGATCTCATCCCTTCTCTCACTCGTGAGAGCTCTCTCTTCTCTCTCTCTTCTCTCTCTCTTCTCTCTCTCTTTTCCTCCTTTCTTTTCTCCACCTTCTTTCTATTATTCTTCTCACCTCACCCCTTCTATTTTATTATTTCTATTAAATATTAATAAAATACTAAAATCGTTTTATACATAAATTAAATTTGTTTGCACAACAGATTAATCAATCTCTCTATGTTCGACCTAAGACTTACTTCCATACTAGTATTTTATTAAGTCTTAGTTATAAATATTATTAAATAGTGTGTATTTAAACACAATGATAAGTGCAAACCACATTACCTCGTGACATTTGTCAAAGTCATATCTTTTAGTGTTATGTAGTAAAGTTTGACTACTTAAGGGCAACAATTAGTAAAAGAATCAATGAACACATGACAAATTGCAAGATTATTGACAACATGACAATTCTCCTTGCTAACATGTCATTTTTATAAGATAAGTGATGCATAATTATCATATTTGATACATTAACTCATTCTAAATAACATATATTTATATGTGAACAAGTAAAACATATTTTAGTTTAGCTGTATGAAATACATGCTTAATGTACAAATTTTGTATATTTTTAGACCATGCTTATACTTTAAATATTCCTTGATTATATCTTAATATGGCTTAACATTCCTCTAAATAAAAAAATGACAAGAATAGAGAATATGTAACAAGGCAGTAGGACCAACATATAACATAAATGTAAACCAATTGACACAACTAGCATATCTAACAAGGACAAAAAATCTTAACACATGAGAAGATCAATGACACATCAAAAGATCATGTACTAAGACATGTAATATTGACTTTGTCAAAACTTGATAAAAATGTCAACCTAGAGTAGGATGATTGCACAATCTACTAATAGGTTAGTATTTGTTGACCTAGAAATTTTTTAACCAATCATATTTAGTCATTTGAATTCCTATTAGAAGTTGGATATATAAAAACCCCTCAAACAATCTTTTAGGCAACATCTGAATGATGAAAATATTCCATCATATCAATCTCCAAATACTAGTGAGATGTTCTCAATACAACCTTTTATATGCTCAAATCTTTGTCCATATCTTTGGCCATACATCCTTAAGAAAATTACCATTTCAACCATCCTCAGATTTTTGAAGTTCTGAAATTAATTATATATGTGAAGCATCTAAGGGTTCCTTGTAATGTGAAAATATAAGTAATCTAGAAACTTGGGGTTAACATGGGATAATAGTTGATAAGTCTTCATTATCATGAGTTAATAATTAGTAAATAATATAGTTTTAGCCTTAACTCATGATAAGTAGATTTATCTTTGTGTTAAATTGTGAAAAATAGTTTTTAGTTGATTAATGTAATTTTTGGCTAATTATGTGATTTTATATGAATTTATATAATTTTTATAGTCTTATTTTTGAGATAAATGAAGAAAAAGAAAATAACATAAAAAATAGAAAAAGGGGGGGACCCGCCAGTCAGTCGGGCCCACAAGTGGGTCAGAAGTGCAGTTGGGGGGAGCCACAAGCAAGGGCTCGATTGGCTATGGACCAATGGGGGTATGTGTGCGCCACTCCCCTTCCACGTCACATCACCAATGGCCAACCAACTGTGGGGTGACGTGACTCAGTCGTTGTATATTAAATCACGTAAATATAAAATATATAAAACTAGAAAATACGAATTTTCGGATATTTAGAAGTATTTATGAATAAATATATCACTTATAATTCAATAAAACTTCCAAAAATAGCGGTAATTTTCCAGGTCGATCACAGGGATGTAATATAATATCTCGTAATTATTCAGAATTTTTCTCAATGAATACGATTTTCTATGAATTTTATACTAGGAAATAAAAAGGAAATATATTTAAAATTCACGAAAAAGGGAAATAAGGGTGCGAACGTCAGGATGACGTCAGCGCCCGGCGAACGCGAATCAGGCGGAAACAGAGTTCCACCCGGCGATTCTTTCGTAAGTGATTACAAACAATTTAATTAATCAAATTAAGATCTGTAAAAGCCGAAAGAATCGTAATTAAATAAAGTATATTTTGGTAAATTAAAAACACAAAAATTAATCACTAAATGAAGCATAAAGTAAGTTTGAAAGCAGGAAAACAGAGTTCCGGCGTCGCAACGGCGATGCATTGGCAATGCACTAGAATCCTGAGCATTCGGGAGGATCGTCGTGTAGTGTCCACGGCCTCGAAGGCTCTCCTTGGACAAAGACGACGTGGGCAATCTCTAGATCTTCTTGCGAAGTCTAGAGATCAATGAAGTGGGTCGTCGAATTGTCTCCGGCAGCTGTCACCCGGCAGAGCAGAAAAACGGCGACTTTGCAGCTCTTTGGCGGCTGTCACCTGACGGAGAGGAGCTGGATGGAGGTGGGGCGCGTGTCAAGGAGCTTTATCCTCAGGTCCGCGCAACAAGAGGAGGCTCTTCATCGTATCTGGTACGCTCTCAAGAGGTGGCGACTCGTCTCCTAGCGGATCGTCCTCTTCCCGACGACAGCGTGTTCGTCGATCAATCAGAGATGATTTACTCGATGGATTCGCGATCCTTTTATCGCGAATCGTTCAGCAATTTTAGTAGCAATACTCCGCGAATCGCATTGACGAGATTTTTGTCGATGATCTAGCGATTCTGGTTGCTTAATCCTTCACCGGCGATCTGCAGGAAAGTCGTAATAATCAGATAAAAATATATGAATTTTGACTCTGGGAGGATTTGAACCCGCGCCGGTCGCCCGCCTGTGAGGAAGGTGTGACGCGGGTTTAGTCCCACATCGGTTGTGCGCCGATTTTTCGGGCGAATATATAGTAATGTTAGCTTCGGAAGCAAAGTCACTTCTCTCGCGTGTATGACCACTCCTTGCCCCACAGCCAGCTGGCCACCGGTGATGTGGAAGGGGAGTGGCACACACGTGCCCCTATCGGTCCAAGCTAAGCCGCTCGAGCCCCTGCTCGCGGCTACTCCCGACTGTGCTTCTGACCCGCTTGCGGGCCTGGCTGGCCGGCGGGTCCCCCCATTTTGCAATATTTTTATTTTTATTTCTTGTTCTTCATTTATCTCAAAAGTAAGACTATAAAAATCGTATAAAATCACATAATTACCCAAAAATTCACGTTAATCAACTGAAAACCACTTTTCACACTTTAACACAAATATAAGTCTATTTATCATGAGTTAAGGCTAAAACTATATTATTTACTAATTATTAACTCATGATAATGAAGACTTATCATGGGGCAAGGAGTGGTCGTACGCGTAGGAGAAAGGGACTCATTGCTTAGAAAGTTAATATTACTATATATTCACCCAAAACTTTGGCAGACAATTAATGTGGGACTAAACCTGCATCACACCTTCTCTAGAATGATTTTTTATATTTTAATACCTAAATTACCCCTTAGTTATAACAACGATATACCTATGATAATGTCACTTTATAAGGGTATTAGAGTACTTATTTCAATCTCTCTCTCATGTAGGCAAGCGACTAGTGCAAGTTCGAATCTTAATAGAGCTAAAACTCATATTTTTATCTAATTAAGTTACAACTTTCTTGCAAATCACTGATGAAGGATTAAGTTCTCAGAATCACTTGATCACCGACAAAAACTTCGTCAATGTGATTCGTAAACAATTCTTAACTAAAATTGTTGAATGATTCATGATAAAAGGATCACAAATCCACTAAGTAAAGCATCTCTGATTGATCGACGAACAAGCTGTCATTGAGAAGAGGACTATCTACTGAGACACATGTCGCCACCTCTTAAGAACGTACCAGATAAAATGAAGAGCCTCCTCTTACTACGCGGACCTGAGGATGAAGCTCCCTGACACGTGTCCCACACCCATCTAGCTCCTCTTCGTTGGGTGACAGCCGCTGAAGAGCCGCAAAGTTGTTATTTTTTCACTCCACCAAGTGAAAGTCGTTGGAGACAATTCAATGACCCATTTCATCGATCTCTAGACTTCACAAGAAAATCTAGAGATTGCCCACATCGTCCTTGTCCAAGGAGAGCCTTTGAAGCCATAGACACTACATGACAATCCTCTCAAATGCTCAAGATTTTGGTGCATCGCTAACGCATCATCACTGCGACGTCAGAACTCTATTTTTCTACTTTCAACTTAATTTTCGCTTCATTTAGTGATAGTTTATGTGATTTAAATTAACCAAACTATTCTTCATTTAATTATGATTCTTCTGACTTTTACAGATCTTTAGTTGATCAATTAAATCGTCTTTAATCGCTTAGATAAGAATCATCAAGTGGAACTCTAATTCCACTCGATTCATGTTCGTTGGGTGCTAACGTCATCTTAATGTTTGCACTATTATTTACTTTTTTCGTAAATTTTCAATATATTTTATTTGTATTTCATAATATAAAATTCATAAAAAATCATACTCCTTGAAAAAAAATTAAAAAAGTATTAATATTATATTACATCCCTGTGATTGATCTGAAATTTTTTTACTATTTTTGAAAGTTTTATTAAATCATAATTGATATATTTATTCAGAAATACTTCTAAATATCTAAAAATTAGCATTTTTTAGTTTTATAAATTTTAAATTTACGTGATTTACTATACAACAAAAGTCAAGTCAATAGTCCTAAAAGTTCATTGTGTAAAAAGAGGTTTATGATCTTGTCAATTCAACAATCTTCTCAAGTTAAGAATATTGAAAACTAAGTGTTGAGATCCTTGGTAAGTGGATATGGACAAAAAGAAGGTTGAACTACTATAAAGTATGACATCAAAAACCTATGACAATGCACATTTACATGTGCTGATACAAGCCAAAACTATGTAGACCCACTTCATTAGTAATTCATAGATTGAATTAAGTCCAAAACATTAAAAATGATAAAACTACTTAGAAAACAAATTCACCCTCCCTTTTAGTATACTTTCCAGCCCAATAGGAACTCTAAAATATTAAGAAAGATATAATGTAAGGGCATAATGGTAATCTTATAATAAAAATATATTAAAGAAATATATATTAATTAAGAATAACATATTCTAATCACTAAAAAATTCCTTTACCTATTGAGTTTCATTTACTATCGTTACTTTTTGGTATGAAGTAAGATGACATATTTGGTAAAAAGGAATTTAATGCATAAATACCACGAAACTATATGAAGAAAAAGAGTTCACTCACTGATAAGTCTTCATTATCATGAGTTAATAAATAGTAAATAATATAATTTTAGCCTTAACTCAGGATAAATACTTATATTTCTATTAAAGTGTGAAAAGTAGTTTTCAGGTGATTAATGTGATTTTTTGGGTAATTATGTGATTTTATACGAATTTATATGATTTTTACAGTCTTACTTTTGAGATAAATGAAGAAAAAGAAATAAAACTAAAATATTGCAAAATGGGGGGACCCGCTGGCCAGCTGCGCCCGCAAGCGGGTCGGAAGCTTAGTTAGGGAGTAGCCGCGAGCAGGGGCTGGAGCGGCTTAGACCAATAGGGGCACGTATGCGCCACTCCCCTTCCACGTCACCGGTGGCCAGCCGGCTGTGGGGCAAGGAGTGGTCGTACACGCGAGAGAAGGAACTTTGCTTAGAGAGCTAACATTATTATATATTCGCCCAAAAAATCGGCGCACAACCGATGTGGGACTAAACCCGCGTCACACCTTCCTCAGAAGAGGCGGGCAACCGGCGCGGGTTCGAGTCCTTCTAGAGTCAAAAGTCATATATTTTTATCTGATTATCGTGACTTTCCTACAGATCGCCGGTGAAGAATTAAGCAACCAGAATCGCTAGATCATCGACAAAAATCTCGTCAATGCGATTCGCGGAGTATTGCTACTAAAATTGTTGAACGATTCGCGATAAAAGGATCGCGAATCCATCGAGTAAATCATCTCCGATTGATCGACGAACACGCTGTCGTCGGGAAGAGGACGATCCGCTAGGAGACGAGTCGCCACCTCCTGAGAGCGTACCAGATACGATGAAGAGCCTCCTCTTGTTGCGCGGACCTGAGGATGAAGCTCCCTGACACGCGCCCCACCTCCATCCAGCTCCTCTCCGTCAGGTGACAGCCGCCGAAGAGCCGCAAAGTCGCCGTTTTTCCGCTCTGCTGGGTGACAGCCGCCGGAGACAACTCGGCGACCAATTTCATTAAGTTTTAGACTTCACAAGAAGATCTAGAGATTGCCCACCTCGTCTTTGTGCAAGGAGAGCCTTCGAGGCCATGGACACTGCACGACGATCCTCCCGAACGCTCAGGATTCTAGTGCATCGCCAATGCATCGCCGTCGCGACGCCGGAACTCTGTTTTCTTGCTTTCAAACTTACTTTATGCTTCATTTAGTGATTAATTTTTGTGTTTTTAATTTACCAAAATATACTTTATTTAATTATGATTCTTCCGGCTTTTACAGATCTTAATTTGATTAATTAAATCGTCTGTAATCACTTACGAAAGAATCGCCGGGCGGAACTCTGTTTCTGCCCGATTCACATTCGCCGGGTGCTGACGTCATCCTGACATCCGCACCCTTATTTTCCTTTTAAATATTTTTCCTTTTCATTTCTTAGTATAAAATTCATATAAAATAGTATTGTCTGAGAAAAATTATGAATAATTACCATATATTATATTACATCCCTGTGATCGACCTGGAAAATTACTGCTATTTTTGGAAGTTTTATTGAATTATAATTCATATATTTGTTCAGAAATACTTCTAAATATCTGAAAATTCGTATTTTCTAGTTTTATAAATTTTATATTTTCGTGATTTAATATACAATGACTGAGTCATGTCAAACTTTGGCACCATTGCCGGGGATGTATTGCATAATATTTAGTACTTTTTTTGTTTTTCTCTTAAGAGTACACAAAAAAATTTAACTCTTGTTTTATTTTCTTGTTGTCGATTTTTTTTAAGAAAAAGGGAACGAAAAGAAGCAAGGCAAGGACTGGAGCATACTGAAGGAGGGTAACAATTACTAAACTTTTCTCTCGAATTTATTGATTTTTTATGCATGGTAGAAGATCCTTGCATCCAAGGCTAGAAAATCCTTTCATTATTTCATTCAAGACTAAAAATCCGAAAGAAAAAAAATTAATTTTGATAGATCCTGAAGGAAGTACAGGTCAAATTGAGAACAATCCTATGACCATGAAAAATTATTATATCCCTGATTCATTTCAAAGAGCATCAAATATTAGAGTCCCATTAGCACCCACTGTTAAATTCGAAATAAATCCAAGAATTTTTCAAATGCTCCCTAATTTTCATGGATTGCCTTTAGAGGAGCCTCATTAGCACTTAGAAAATTTCATATGGTCTGTGATTTAGTTAATCTCCCTCAAGTTACACCGGAAATTATTAAGATGAAATTATTCCCTCATACACTTAGGGACAAAGCTAGCCATTGGCTATCCACGTTAGATAGAGAATTAACTAGCTGGAAAGATATAGAACAAGCCTTTCTTCGAAAATTTTATCCCTTAGGAAAAACTCAAAATATGAGAAAACATATATGGAGTTTTTCTCAAAGACCAGGAGAAACTTTGCATGAGACATGGGAAAAATTCAAAGATTTACTTAGAAAGTGTCCTCATCATGCTATACCCAAGTGGCAGCTCAATAGAATTTTTTATGATGAATTATTAGAATAACATAAAAATATGGTTGATTCTATATGTGGAGGAGCTTTTATGGAGAAAACTCCTGATGAGATTTACAATCTTTATGAGAATTTAAGTGAAAATTCTAGAAATCAAGCCTCTTTTGAATTATATGACAGGGATAAGAAGAGAGAAATTTATGAATTGCATCATGATGATGATTCTAAACTTAGAAATGAGGTTAATCAGATTAATCAAAGATTAGAAAAAAATGATTTACTTTTGAAAATATTAGAAAGCCTTTTAACCCTCAACTTAATTCGAATAGTACATGTCCTATGTATGGTGAAAATGATTATCTGAATTTTAATGTTATAATTTAGATCAATCATTTCACCCTATGCAAGAACAAGTACAAGTAGCTCACAGTTTTAATAGAAACAAGGAACTTTTTTCAAATTCTTATAATCCTAATTGGAGGAATAATTTTTCATGGAGAGACCCAAATAATATTCAAAATCCAGAAGCACTTAGACTCAATTCAAACTCTGAATTTCGTCCAAAACAAAAAAACAGATTTCAGAAAAATCAGCCCTCTCAAATCCAACCTGATGCTATGGAAATGATGCAGCAAATGAGCCAAATGATGCAACAAACTATGAATCAAATGATGCTGGACCAGAAACAAATTATAGAGGCTCTTGGGAATAAGAGAGAAGAGGGACAGCTACCTAGTCAGCCCTTAGAAAATCCAAAGAACCGCCTAACAATAAGAATTCAGCAAGGGGAGTCTAGTAGCATGAATCTAGGAAAAAACCCATGAAATGAAAATGTTAGGACAGTGAATGCATTAAGGAGTGGTAAGATCTTACCTGATCCTTATCCCCAAACATTAGAAGAAAAAGAAAACATGGACAAACCAAAACAAAATCAAATAGGAGTAGAAGAGGATTTTATAGATTCTACCAAGGAAATTTCGAAAGAGAGGACGACCATTCCATTTCCTAAAGTTCTAGAGCCTAGACAAAGAAAGAAAAAGGAACACAATGAAGAAATAAAGAAAATTTTACAAGATGTGCAAATTAGTCTTCCTTTACTCACTGCCATTGAACATATTCCTGAATATGCTAGAGTTTTGAAAGAAATGTGTACACCAAAAAGGGCACCTAGAGTAGAAAAATTATCTATGCATGCTAGTGCATTATTATTAAATCAATTACCATATAAATTGAGAGATACAGGTGCCCCTTTAATTTCGTGTTATATTGGTGGATTCATTTTTCAGAATGCATTACTTGACACCGGTGCTAGTATTAATTTATTACCTACAAGTATTTGTGATAAATTTAATATTTCTAATCTTAAACCTTCTACTGTTACCTTACAATTTGCTGATAGATCCATAAAACATCCTAAAGGTATTTTAGAAAATGTGATAGTGACAGTTAAAGGATGTAAATTTCCAGCTGATTTTGTAGTGCTAGAAATAGATTTTAATGGACAGTTTTATGATACGCCAATCATCCTAGGGAGACCATTTTTGCATACAGCAAAGATGAATATTGATTTTCCCACAGGTATTGTGAAAATTTCATGTGGAGATCAATCAGTAGAAATTAAAATTTTTGAGGTATCAAATGATCTTAAGAAATCCCAAGTATATGATTGTCATACCATAGATCTTCTAGATGATTTTGATGATCCAGATGTTATTGATGACTGTGTGCTGGAAGAATTAGAGGAAATAGAGGATATAAATTTAGAAGAAAAGAAAGAGGAAGATCATCTGAATTTAGAGTTGAAACCTCTTCCCTCTAGTTTAAAATATATGTTCTTGGAGGAAAATAATTCATTTCCTGTTATTATTGCAGCTGATTTGAGTGATGAACAGGAAGAAGAATTATTAGATGTACTTCGAAAAAATAAGAAGGCTATGGGCTGGAAAATGGATCATCTAAGGGGCATTGATATGAGTGTATGCATACATAATATATATCTAGAGGAGGGGGCTAGAACTAGCAGGGAACCACAACGAAGATTAAATCCTAACATGATGGAAATTGTAAAAAAAGAAATTTTAAAGTGGCTGGCTGCTGGTATTATTTATCCTATTTCAGATAGCAAATGGGTTAGTCCTACACAAGTGGTGCCAAAAAAATCAGGCATCATAGTTATAAAAAATGAAAATGGAGATGAAATACAAACAAGATTAACTACCGGTTGGAGAGTTTGCATTGATTATAGAAAATTAAATTCAGTTACTAGAAAAGATCATTTTCCCCTACCATTTACTGATCAAATTCTAGAAAAATTAGCTGGAAAAAACTTTTTTTGTTTTCTAGATGGATACTCTGGTTATAATCAAATTTATATAAACCCTTTAGATCAAGAAAAAATAACTTTCACTTGTCCATTTGGTACTTTTGCTTTTAAACGCATGCCTTTTGGTCTGTGTAATGCTCCAGCCACATTTCAAAGATGTATGCTGTCTATTTTTTCTGATATGATTAGAAAATGTATGGAAATTTTTATAGACGATTTTTCTGTTTTTGGTAAATCATTTGATGAATGCTTAAATCATTTACAGCATGTACTTGAGAAATGCATAGAGAAAAAATTAGTTTTGAGTTGGGAGAAATCACATTTTATGGTTAGAGAGGGAGTTGTGTTGGGTCATATTGTGAGTGAAAGGGGTTTAGAGGTGGATAGAGCAAAAATTGATATTATATCTAAAATGAAATCTCCAAATTTAGTAAAACAGATTAGATCTTTCTTGGGTCATGCAAGTTATTACAAAAAATTTATTCAAGATTTTTCGAAAATTTCTAAACCTCTCACCATGCTATTATCTAAAGATGTGCCTTTTAATTTTGATGAGAAATGTTTTGAGTCTTTTTCTGAAATAAAAAGATTACTTACTGAGGCACCCATTTTACAAGCTCCTGATTGGTCCCTTTCCTTTGAAATAATGTGTGATGCATCGAATTATGCAGTGGGGGCTGTTCTAGGACAAACAAAAGAGTCAAAACCCATAGTAATTTCATATGCTAGTAAAACTATATCCGATGCTCAATTAAATTATACCACGACTGAAAAAGAGTTGTTAGCTGTAGTATTTTCGTGAGAAAGGTTTAGATCATATATTTTGGGAGCTAAAATTATTATTTATATTGATCATGCAGCATTAAAATATCTGTTAAATAAGAAAGATGCAAAGCCACGTTTATTAAGATGGATTTTATTATTGCAGGAATTTGACTTAGAAATAAAAGATAAAAAAGGTTTCGAGAATGCTGTTGCTGACCATCTTTCTAGATTAAGTGATACAGGAATAAATACAACACCTTTACAAGATGCATTTCCAGATGAACAATTGATGGCAGCTCAACATCAACCATCACCATGGTATGCACATATTGTTAATTTTCTGGTTTTTGGAAAAACTCTAGAATAGTGGGATAAGAACAGAAAATATCATTTTTTTTCTAAGATTAGAAATTATTTTTGGCATGATCTTGATTTATATTACTTGGGCAATGATCAAATTTTAAGGAGATGTGTTCTTGAAGAAGAATACCATAGCATTATTAACATGTGCCATTCATCTAACTGTGGAGGACATTTCTTTGGACGAAAAATAGCTGCAAAAAATTTTCAGTGTGGTTTTTATTGGCCTACAATCATTAGAGATTCTATAGAATTTAGTAGAACAGGTATTTCATGCCAATCTATAAGTAACATGAGTAAAACAGATGAAATGCCCATGAGTAACATGTTAGTAGTCGAAATTTTTGATGTATGGGGAATAGATTTCATGGGTCCCTTCCCATCAGCTGAAAAATATGAATATATTTTGCTTGCTGTTGATTATGTGTCGAAGTGGGTGGAAGCTATTCCTACTAGAACTAATGATCATAAAATCGTGATGAAATTTGTGCAGGAAAATATTTTTTCGAGATTTAGATGTCTTAGAGTGATTATTAGTGATGGAGGAACACATTTTACAAATAAACATTTCAGGGAACTATTGAAAAAGAATGGAGTACACCATAGAGTAGCCACTCCATATCATCCCCAAACAAATGGGCAAGCTAAAGTAGCAAATAGAGAAATTCAGAGAATTTTGAGAAAAATAGTTAGACTAGATAGGAAAGATTGGCCCACGAAATTACAAGATGCATTATGGGCTTATAGAACAGCTTATAAAAATCCCATAGGTATGTCCCCATTTCGTCTCATTTTTGGAAAGCCATGTCATCTTCCTGTGGAAATAGAGCATAAAGCATTATGGGCTATAAAAAATTTATGTATGGATGAAAAACCAGCTGGTGGGCATAGAATTTTTCAGCTACATGAACTAGAGGAGTTGAGGAATGAAGCTTATGAAAATCATATAATATATAAAGAAAAAACTAAAACTTTTCATGATAAATACATTAGCAGAAAAAAATTTGATGTTGGACAAAAAGTGTGGTTATATGATTCTAGGCTGAAATTATTCCCAGGAAAATTAAAATCAAAATGGAAAGGGCCTTATGTGGTGGAAGAGACATATGATCATGGGGCTGTAATGATTAAAGATCTTAAATCATAACTTTAAGGTAAATGGACAGCGGCTTAAACATTACATAGAACATGAACGCCTTGCAGAAAAAGAAATTTTATTATTAAAAGAAATTCAAGAGTAAGATCAAGCAGTCCAGCTGGAGACATTAAATTCAGCGCTGCATGGGAGGCAACCCATGGTTTTTATTTCATTTTGTTTGATTTTTTTTAAGCTCTATTTTTCTTAGAATTTTGCAATACTTGTTTCTGTATTTGTTTTTTCGAAAGAGTGTAGGAGGAGGCGTGTAAGACGAAGTGGAAAATTAAAAACGAGGTTGAGGTGATGTCTTTCAGAGCTTTATCATTTATGACAACATTTTTAATGCTTAACTTTGCATATATGCATGCTTCACGTGAAAATTATATTTTCTGCATATTCTGTTTCGATTTTTCTGTGTCATTGAGGACAATGTCATTTTTAAGTTGGGGGGTGAAGTATTCATTATTAATTTATGTTGTAAGACGATTAAGAACATGTGTTTGCATTTTATTCAACTTAGAATAACAACTAAAAATAACAATAAAAAAAAAATCAGAAAAACTGCAACATCTATTTTCTGGTTTTCTGTTAGGAACAACAGACTGTCAAAAACAGCAGACAAAAAATAGCCTAAAATTTGAAAATCTAGAGACCCTTTTCTCACATTTCAATCCCCTAGACATATATTACTGAAATTCGAAATTACAGCTATAAAGAGGATAGTTTTGATTTATTTTTGACAAATTTATTGCTGCTAAAAATAGAACTGAAAATAGAAAACAAAATTGTCAGAACTATCTAATTTACAAATCTCTTACATCATATTGCATGCATGAAAAATTAAATCAATTAGATTGATTGATACCAAAAGATACTAGGAAGATTATTATTGAGTCAAAAGAATAATCTAGTAGTATGAAATGTTGGAATACTCCTTGGATACATGATAGATAACATGGATTTGATTTTACAGATTTTCACTTCATGATCTTGATGGATAGTATTTACTTGATGTCAAAATTTGATTGATCATTTGAGTTTAATGAAGATTTTTGCACCTTGATCTATAGGACTTGTGAACAGAAATCACTTATCTCGAAAAAAAAAAAAAGAAAAAAAAAGAGAGAGCAATGTGAAAAATCTAGAAACGAAGAGTACACATGGAGGGTGTGAGACATCATTCTCATTGTCGAAAATCGTGCATAGAAAAATACTTGCTACAAAATAAGTGGATAAAGTGAAAGCCCTGAAAATGAAGAGTACACATGGAGGGTGTGAGACATCATTCTTATTGTCGAAATTTGTCTACAGGAAAAGCTACTTATCCACTATATATAAAGAAAGAAGAAATATAGTGCAAACTTCAAAAATCAAGCAATAGAAAAAGGGAAATGTAGGATCAATATTATTCTTGGATGAGTATTGATAATTAGAACATCTTGTAAATACATCTATGAGTGAAGAAGTGATAAAGATGTGAATAGAAGAAGTGAAGTCTAGATTGTTATTCCAAAGAGTGTTTAAACATTTAAGTGCTTGACATCATTCTTAAATACTTGATATAAGAATCCAAAGTGTTTAAAGGTGCATCATTTCTTATTGTATTTATTTTTTTTCTGTATTGAAATATGATATTTGAAATTTGTAAATTTTTATTTTTGTAATTCCATTGCTAAGGGACTAGCAATGATTTAAGTTGGGGGGTGTGATAAGTCTTCATTATCATGAGTTAATAAATAGTAAATAATATATTTTTAGCCTTAACTCATGAGAAATAGACTTATATTTGTGTTAAAGTGTGAAAAGTGGTTTTTAGTTGATTAATGTGATTTTTTGGGTAATTATGTGATTTTATACAAATTTATATGATTTTTACAGTCTTACTTTTGAGATAAATGAAGAAAAAGAAATAAAAGTAAAATATTGCAAAATGGGGGGACCCGCCGGCCAGCCGGGCCCGCAAGCAGGTCGGAAGCTCAGTCGGAGAGTAGCCGCGAGCAGGGGCTCGAGCGGCTTAGACCGATAGGGGCACGTGTGCGTCACCCCCCTTCCACGTCACCGGTGGCCAGCCGGCTGTGGGGCAAGGAGTGGTCGTACACGTGAGAGAAGGAATTTTGCTTAGAAAGCTAACATTACTATATATTCGCCCAAAAAATTGGCACACAACCGATGTGGGACTAAACCCGCGTCACACCTTCCTCAGAAGAGGCGGGCGACCGGCGCGGGTTCGAGTCCTTCTAGAGTCAAAAGTCATATATTTTTATCTGATTATCGTGACTTTCCTACAGATCGCCGGTGAAGGATTAAGCAACGAGAATCGCTGGATCATCGGTGAAAATCTCGTCAACGCGATTCGCGGAGCATTGCTACTAAAATTGCTGAACGATTCGCGATAAAAGGATCGCGAATCCATCGAGTAAATCATCTCCAATTGATCGACGAACAAGCCGTTGTCAGGAAGAGGACGATCCGCCGAGAGACGAGTCGCCACCTCCTGAGAGCATACCAGATACGATGAAGAGACTCCTCTTGTTGCGCAGACTTGAGCATGAAGCTCCCTGACACGCGCCCCACCTCCATCCAGCTCCTCTCCGTCGGGTGACAGCCGCCGGAGAGCCGCAAAGTCGCCGTTTTTCCGCTCCGCTGGGTGACAGCTGCCGGAGACGACTCGACGACCCATTTCATTAATTTCTAGACTTTGCGAGAAGATCTAGAGATTGCCCACGTCGTCTTTGTCCAAAGAGAGCCTTCGAGGCCGTGGACACTGCACGACGATCCTCCTGAACGCTCAAGATTCTAGTGCATCGCCAACGCATCGTTGTCGCGACGTCGGAACTCTGTTTTCTTGCTTTCAAACTTACTTTACGCTTCATTTAGTGATTAATTTTTGTGTTTTAATTTACCAAAATATACTTTATTTAATTACGATTCTTCCAGCTTTTACAGATCTTAATTTGATTAATTAAATCATCTGTAATCACTTATGAAAGAATCGTTAGGCGGAACTCTGTTTCTGCCCGATTCGCGTTCGCCGGGCGCTGACGTCATCTTGACGTCCACACCCTTATTTCCCTTTTAAATATATTTCCTTTTCATTTCTTAGTATAAAATTCATATAAAATAGTATTCTCTGAGGAAAATTCTGAATAATTACCAGATATTATATTACATCCCTGTGATCGACTTGGAAAATTACCGCTATTTTTGAAAGTTTTATTGAATTATAATTCATATATTTGTTCAGAAATACTTCTAAATATCCAAAAATTCATATTTTCTAGTTTTATAAATTTTATATTTGCGTGATTTAATATACAACGACTGAGTCACGTCACTCACCATCAATAAGAAAGCCTCAGCACCCTTGGTGAGTTAGGAAGTGAGTTGAATCAACCATATATAATGATGCTCGATATTAATAGGGACTAAGTGAGTCAACCCACTTTGTATAAATAAGACTCAATATTTGACAACTCATGTTATTTGAAAGTGAGCCGACTCATGTCATTTGAAAAAGGGTCAATACTCTTAGTTGTTGGAACCTTCATTAAATCATATTTAAATGACAAATAATACACATAATAAAGATAAATAGATCAACTACTCATACAATTCTAATGAAATGTGTATTGAATTAATTAGTTAATTAAAATTCATGATTTTTTTAAAATTTTAATTTTAAATATACAAATAGAAATTTAAGAAATATATTTGAATCTCATACTTCTGAATTCATGAATTTGAATGAATTATTTATTTGAAATTATTACATTTTTTATTAATGTGGTGAGTGCTAATATTTATTGAAACTACCACTCAGGGAAAGTAATATCTAGCGCACCACATTTAGCAACTACTCTTGAAGTAAAATATGAGTATAAAGGCTTATCTAGTATAGAGGATGTTCATCATGCCAAATTATTATTTATGATTATTCTTAATATCACATTAATTAATTGAATTCAAACTATTTAAATGGTGACTCAAGTTTTGTGAATATTGATGAATACTGATTAAAAATAAATTTGAAATATGATAAGTTACCGAAGTAATGATGATTCATGTGGAAATCATCATTTAATGTTCTTAATTTATATTATTTATTTATTTGAGGTAATTTAGGTCATTTTGGAATACAAATTTGATTAATTTATTTTGAGATGTGTTACTAGTTTTTGAATGATAATCAATTCTTACCATACTCATTTGAACCAATAAGCCTCATATATATAAGTTGTACAAAATGGTTCTTATTAGATGATATATGAACCTCAAAAGATATGGTGTATTGGTTTTTAATCATTTCATTTTATCAATAATTTTATTATTTGAATATTGAGAAATGATCAATAATAGGAGGGTTGATAAATCTTCATTATCATGAGTTAATAATTAATTAATAATATATTTTTAACCTTAACTCATGATAAATAGACTTATATTTGTGTTAAATTATGAAAAGTGAATTTTAGTTGGTTAATGTGAATTTTTGGCTAATTATGTGATTTTATAAAAAATTATATTTATATTTTTAATCATATTTTTTATATAAATAAAGAAACATAAAAGAAAATAAAAAATATAGAAAAAGGGGGGTACCTACTAGCCAATTGAGCCTGCAAGTAGGTCAAAAGCACAGTCGAGTGGAGCCGCGAGGAGGGGCTCGAGTAGTTAAGGATGAACCACGTGATAAGGGAGACATGTGTGTCACTCTCCATCCAAGTCACTAAGGCTAGCTTGGCGTGGGGTAAGGAGTGTCATACACACATGAGAAAGGGACTCATTACTTTCCAGAACTCATATTACTATATATTTGTCTCAAATTTTGACATATAACCGATGTGGGATTAAACCGGTAATCACAATTTCTCCATAATATTTTAATATTTTGTGTACCTCAAATATCTCTTATTTATCAAAATAATGTACCTTGATAACGTCACCTTATAAGGGTATTCGCATACTTATTTCACTCTCTCTTATGCATACGGGTACCGACTAGGGTTCGAATCCTACAATAACCAAAAGTCATATTTTTATATAGTTAAATTATGATTTTTCTCCAGATTAAACCATCAAAATTACTCAATCATTGGTAAAAATCTCATCAATACAATTAAGGGAGTATCGTTAATCAAAATTATTGAACGATTCGTGATAAAAAGATCATGGATCTATCGAGTAAATCAATTTCTAATTAATCGACGAACAAGCCGTCGTCAAGAAGAGGATGATCTGTCAGGAAATAAGTTGCCACCTCTTGAGAGTGTACTAGATGCAATGAAGAGCCTCATCTTGTTATATAGACTTGAGGATGAAACTCCTTAGGACGCGCCCAACCTCTATCGAGTGATGGTCGTCGTAGATCCACAAAGTTATCATTTTTCTGCTCTATCGGGTGACAATCATCAAAGACGATTCAATAACCCACTTCATTGATTTTTAGACTTTGCAAGGAGATCTAGCGATTGTTCATGTCGTTTTTGTCCAAAGAAAGTCTTTGAAGCTGTAGACATTACATGACAATCCTCCCAAATGCTCAAGATTCTGATGCATCGTCACTACGACATCAAAACTTTGTTTTATTATTTTTTAACTAGTTTAACTTTCACTATCATTTTTTAGATTTCAAAAAGAGATCCAACAAATACTTAGGTCATCTACATCTTATGAGAGCCTTTGAGGTCATGGACATCATTTGATGATCCTCTCGAATATATAGAATTCTGACAATAGCTATCACGAGGTTGAAACTTTGTCTTTGCTTTTAACTTAATTTTTACTAAATTTAGTGACATTTTGTGTAATTTTAAATTTGAAAAATCTTCTTCATTCAATTACAATTCTTTTGATTTTTATAGATCTTAATTTGACCCATTAAATCATCTATAAAAACTTATGTAAGAATCACTAGGTAGAACTCTATTTCTGCATGATTTACATTCTTCAAAGTGTTGACGTCATCCTTACGTCCACACCCTTATTTTCCTTTTTCATGAATTTTTAAATATATTTTATAATCATCATTAATTCTAAAAATTATTACAAATTATATTCTTTTAGTAAATTTTGAAATATCCTTATGATCGACCTAGAAATTCTTCACTATTTTTAAAACCTTTTATCAAATTATAAATAATTTATTTTTTTCTAAATATTTCTTTAAATATAAAATTAGTATTTTTTAGTTTTATAAATTTTAAATTTGCGTGATTTATTATACAATGACTAAGTCATGTAAATAATTTTTTAATCAAAATTCTCTATAAGTTCAACTTCTATCTAACAATTAATTAGTTCTTGACAATCCTCTTTAACCTCACTATTGTCTCATGCTTTAATGACAACTTAGTTTCTTCTTTATTCTCTATAAAACTTGATAGTCAAAAAGTTCAACTTCTATCTAACAATTAATTAGTTCTTGACAATCCTCTTTAACCTCACTATTGTCTCATGCTTTAATGACAACTTAGTTTCTTCTTTATTCTCTATAAAACTTGATAGTCAAAAAGTTCAACTTCTATCTAACAATTAATTAGTTCTTGACAATCCTCTTTAACCTCACTATTGTCTCAAGATTTTGACTATCAAGTTTTATAGAGAATAAAGAAGAAACTAAGTTGTCATTAAAGCATGGTTAAACTTGTTGACAAGAATACCACAATCTGCACAAAATGCATGTGGGGCACTAGGAGGCAACGCGCAAGGTGCCAAGAGGCGACGTGGGGGCACCAAGAGGCAATGTAGGGGCAGCACCAAGAGGCGGTGTGTGGGACACTAGGAGGTGTCGCATGCGGCACCTATAGTTGGTGCACGGAGCACCGGCAAGAGATGGCGCCATCAAGTGTGTAGGCGTAGTGACATGTCGGGCGGGTGTGCAAGACAATTTTGGGCAAGCATCAGATGGGCAAACAGGTGCGTGCGGCAAGAGACACGACATGTGTGCAGGACTACAAAGACGAGACACCAAGTAAGCATGCAACATCGCGCTACAAGAGATTCTGTCAAGAGAGGATAGGTGATAAGTCTTCATTATCATGAGTTAATAATTAGTAAATAATATAGTTTTAGCCTTAACTCATGATAAATAGACTTATATTTGTGTTAAAGTGTAAAAAGTGGTTTTCAGTTGATTAATGTGATTTTTGGGTAATTATGTGATTTTATATGAATTTATATGATTTTTACAGTCTTACTTTTGAGATAAATGAAGAATAAAAATAAGACAAAATGGGAGGGACCCACTAGCCAGCCGGGCCCGCAAGCAGGTCGAAAGTGCAGTTGGGGAGTAGTCGCAAGTAGGGGCTTGAGTGGCTTGGACGGATAGGGGCACATGTGCGCCACCCCCCTTCCACGTCACCGGTGGTCATCCGACTGTGGAGCAAGGAGTGGTTGTACATGCATGAGAAAGGGACTTGATCGGAAATGTAATATTATTATATATTCACAGACACTTTGCCGCACAAGCGATGTGGGACTAAACTCACGTCACACCTTCCCTAGAAAGAGCGAGCAATCGGCGCGGGTTTGAATCCTCCTAGAGCCAAAATTCATATTTTTTATATAATTATCGCGACTTTCGTGTAGATCGCCGGTGAAGGATTAAGCAACTAGAATCACTGGATCATCGGTAAAAATCTCGTCAACTCGATTCGTGGAGTGACGTGACTCAGTCGTTGTATATTAAATCACACAAATATTAAATTTATAAAACTAGAAAATACGAATTTTCGGATATTTAGAAGTATTTCTAAATAAATATAGCAATTATAATTCAATAAAACTTCCAAAAATAGCGGTAATTTTTCAGGTCGATCACAGGGATGTAATATAATATCTCGTAATTATTCAGAATTTTTCTCAATGAATACGATTTTCTATGAATTTTATACTAGGAAATAAAAAGGAAATATATTTAAAATTCATGAAAAAGGGAAATAAGGGCGCGGACGTCAGGATGACGTCAGCGCCCGACGAACGCGAATCGGGCGAAAACAGAGTTCCGCCCGGCGATTCTTACGTAAGCGATTACAGACAATTTAATTAATCAAATTAAGATCTGTAAAAGCCGAAAGAATCGTAATAGAACAAAGTATATTTTGGTAAATTAAAATCACAAAGAAATATCACTAAATGAAGTGTAAAGTAAGTTTAAAGCAGGAAAACAGAGTTCCGGCGTCGCGACGGCGATGCGTCGGCGATGCACCGGAATCCTGAGCGTTCGGGAGGATCGTTGTGTAGTGTCCACGGCCTCGAAGGCTCTCCTTGGACAAAGACGACGTGGGCAATCTCTAGATCTTCTCACGAAGTCTAGAGATCAATGAAATGGGTCGCTGAGTCGTCTCTGGCGGCTGTCACCTGGCGGAGCAGAAAAATGGCGACTTTGCGGCTCTCCGGCGGCTGTGACCCGACGGAGAGGAGCTGGATGGAGGTGGGGCACGTGTCAGGGAGCTTCATCCTCAGGTCCGCGCAGCAAGAGGAGGCTCTTCATCGCATCTGGTACGCTCTCAGGAGGTGGCGACTCGTCTCCTGGCGGATCATCCTCTTTCCGACGACGGTTTGTTCGTCGATCAATCGGAGATGATTTACTCGATGGATTCGCGATCCTTTTATCGCGAATCGTTCAGCAATTTTAGTAGCAATGCTCCGCGAATCGTGTTGACGAGATTTTCGCCGATGATCCAGCGATTCTCGTTGCTTAATCCTTCACCGGCGATCTGCAGGAAAGTCGCGATAATCAGATAAAAATATATGAATTTTGACTCTGGGAGGATTCAAACCCGTGCCGGTCGCCCGCCTCTTCTGAGGAAGGTGTGATGCGGGTTTAGTCCCACATCGGTTGTGCACCGATTTTTCGGACAAATATATAGTAATGTTAGCTTTGTAAGCAAAGTCTCTTCTCTCGCGTGTACGACCACTCCTTGCCCCACAGCCGGCTGGCCACCGGTGACGTGGAAAGGGAGTGGCATACACGTGCCCTATCAGTCCAAGCCAAGCCGCTCAAGCCCCTGCTCGCGGCTACTCCCCGACTGCGCTTCCGAGCCGCTTGCGGGCCCGGCGGGTCCCCCATTTTTGCAATATTTTTATTTTTATTTCTTGTTCTTCATTTATCTCGAAAGTAAGATTGTAAAAATCGTATAAAATCACATAATTACCCAAAAATTCACGTTAATCAACTGAAAACCACAAATCATTTTTTAACACAAATATAAGTCTATTTATCATGAGTTAAGGCTAAAACTGTATTATTTACTAATTATTAACTCATGATAATGAAGACTTATCATGGAGCATTGTTACTATAATTGCTTAATGATTCGTGATAAAAGGATCGTGAATCCGTCGAGTAAAGCATCTCTGATTGATCGATGAACAAACTGTCGTCGGGAAGAGGACGATCCACTAGCAGATGAGTCGCCACCTCCTGAGAGCATATCAGATACAATGAAGAGCATCCTCTTGCTGTGTGGACCTGAGGATGAAGCTCCCTGACACGCACCCCACCTCCATCCAACTCCTCTCCGTCAGGTGACAACTATTGGAGAGCCGCAAAGTCATTGTTTTTCTGCTCCGCCGGATGACAGCCGCTAGAGACGATTCGATGACCCATTTCATTGATCTCTAGACTTCGCAAGGAGATCTAGAAATTGCCCACGTCATCCTTGTCCAAGGAGAGCCTTTGAGGCCATGGACACTACACAACGATCCTCCTGAACGTCCAGGATTCTGGTGCATCACTGACACATCACCGCCGCGAGGCCGGAACTCTATTTTCTAACTTTCAACTTAACTTTCATTTCAATTAGTGATAATTTTTTGATTTTAAATTTACCAAGATATACTTCATTTCATTACGATTCTTCCAGCTTTTACAGATCTTAATTTGATCAATTAAATTATATGTAATCGCTTACGTAAGAATTGCTGGGCAGAACTCTATTTCCGCTCGATTCACGTTCGCTGGGCGCTGACATCATCTTGACGTCCGCACCCTTATTTCCCTTTTTCGTGAATTTAAATATATTTTATTTTCATTTCCTAGTATAAAATTCATAGAAAATAGTATTCTTTGAAAAAAAAATCTGAATAATTACCAGATATTATATTACATACATGTGATTGACCTGGAAAATTATCGCTACTTTTGAAAGTTTTATTGAATTATAATTGATATATTTGTTCATAAATACTTCTAACTTTCCGAAAAATTATATTTTTCTAGTTTTATAAATTTTAAATTTACGTGATTTACTATACAAATAATTACAAATAATTACATTTATTTCTGAAAATAATTACAAATAGTCTATCTATAGAAGACATTGATTTCACCCAATGTCCCACAAACATTTGACATTTTAGAATATTATCAAATCTTACAAATCATCAAATTTCATAATGAACAAAGGTGGATAGTTACACCTCATAATCACTAGATGTTGAATTAATCCAAACTTAGTCAACAAATTGGTGTCATTTTCTACATCTTTAATGTCACTTATGTCACTCATTTCTGAGAAAATGTCTATCTTTTAACTAGTAATGTCATAGTGTTGGATTCAAGGCCACACTTAAATTAAGAAGAGGTGGTTGAGTTTACCAAGTTTTAATCTTGACTTTGACCAGCTCTAATCAACATCTAGATTATTCTTCTTAAAATGTTAAGTCTTATGATTTTTCTAGAGTTATCAATATATAACTTGGAAGTTTCTAAATTTGTTCAGCCCCTTTACTTCGTCTAATCTTTGAGAACAACTCTCTTCTTAGCTTTTAGTCATTCAAATATCCAAATCACAATCATTGATTATGGGATCAGTTCTCATAGAATTCCATCACAAATTCTCCTTTAGATTCACAACTCTATGAAGTCAATAGTTGATCAATAGGTTCAGCTCCCTTGAATGATTAAATTATTCTCTACTCATAATTTGATCTAGAAGATAACGTTGACTTGAGCTTCATCCAAAAATTTGACGAAAAGTTCTTTGATGAAGTCTTGATTCTTGCATTCCTCTTCTTTGGATGTTGGTAGTAGATAAAAAGGAGTGTCACTTTAATCAAAGTGAGGAAGATTGTTGAATACTTCAACTCAACTTTTTTGCACTTGCAATGTTTGACTAACATGAAGAATATCATGATTTTTCTTAGAAATTTCTATAGAAAAACTCAATGAAGCTCTTGTGGTCATGGAGAATTTAGAGGTGATTATTCTCATATAACTAGCAATTGAAAAGGTGATGTATTTACATTGAAATTCAAAACCTTCCCTAATTTTTGTGATCTCCTAATGTATATTTTACAAGAAAGAGAGAAATTCTAATGACTAGAGGACTGATATAATATATCCATTAAGGGTTTGAATATATTTATGAAAAACCAGTACGTGATTTTATTAAAGTGTAACAACTATATTCAAAGTGTATTGGCTGGGTCAAGTCTTGTAAGAATTTACTATACTTAAAATAGAACCAATAATACTTATCTAGATAAAATGGTAATCTACCCATATTTCTTCAAATAACATATTATCATCAAGTAGCCGCATTGAATCGTTATCTCAATAGTTCTGACCATATTTTTTGAAAAGAAAATCATTAATATGTAGAAAGTATTATGTAGGAGAATAAAGGGTCAAAATTCAATCAATTTAACTCAATGTGAGTAAGCTTGATGCTTATTCTAAACCATTCGAAATTACGGATATAAAATCATAGGTACAAAATAACGTCCATAAACTTTGTTGATCATTGATTTAGAAAATTCTCATTGATTTGAATGTTCAAATCGTTGCTTTTCTCATTGTAACAACTTTTGTAAATATTGATAATTTGATGGTAATAAATAAAATAATAATTCTACATGATGAAACAAACCAAATAAATGGTTGAATACTATGGGAAATAAATACACTTAATATGTTCATATTTGGATATTTGATATCATTATTTTTTATTATGTTCCAATTCTTATCTAAAAAAATTAACACGAATATAATGTCATAAATTAAGCCTATTGGAACTAAAGCATACTTTGATGGTATAATGCTTTTAATTGATCTTATAAGTATTTGTCATCATCAAAACTATATGAATTTAACCATTAAATATATATTAGAAGCTATGGAATACCAAATGATGGGATGCCATTTGATTCTCAAAATGTAGAGGAAGTTGATAAATTTTACCATGAAATTATCATAACCTGATCTAACATTCATATAATAAAATTAATAATGATTTATTTCATATCTCTACAAATATCATTCTTGCCCAAATGATGAAACTTGCCTAACTACTGTTGAGTATTTTCATACTTTCCATCTCATGACTGATTATTCAAGCTATTACAATTATTGAATTAATCATTGACTGAATGAAAGAAAATATTCTGAATACTAGGTCATGATGAAAAATACACATAGGAAAGATCATTGAATCAAATTATGGTATGCATACAATACTCATGGAATGTGCATAAATATTCCTCCAGACATGCGGAATAAATTAATTAAGTACAAATTCATGAAGAATTAAGAGAATGATGTTAAATATTCAAATAGAAATTCAAGAAAATTATTTTAGTCTCATACTTTTTAATGTTTGAATTTCAATGAATTCACCAGTCAAAATTATTGCCTTATTTATTACTATAAGAAGGTTTAATATTTATATAATTTTCCACTAGTGAAAGTCAAAATTAAGATCTGATCAATTCAGTACTTCTTATTGATCTAAATATGACCTATAATCCAACATTAGTAATTAAGAAAGTTAGATGTCTCAGTTGGAAAGAAAAACTTTGTCATGCACTAAATTAGTTTTAGCCAACCTATAACCATTAATCTTCAAGATGTAATATTTCTGGAAATCTAGTTTGGTCAAGCTTAAGCCATCAATCTAAAGGAAAAATTAGCTAGATGGTGTATCTACCCCTTCAAGCCATTAATTTAGTTGGCTAGGGTTATCAAATCTAATGGAGACTGGTTCTAAACCTTTATGTTCAGTTCATGTAATAATAGGTGTTATAAGAAACTAATAATGCATCCTTTAAGGAGTAGGGTTAGATAAATGTGTTGAACCACAATAGTTCTTATTCAAAATATTAGATAGCAGGTTGCAAACAAATTAATTTCCCCTACTCTTAGGTCATCTAATAGCCTCCTTAAAATAAACATTGTATATTGATGACATTTATATATTCTATGTAGATGCACTATCTACCTTGCATTCATGAAATATATTAGTTAATTCACTAATAAATAAAAAATTCAAAAAAACTATAGTAACTGGTTTTCTGTTAGAAACAATAGGAAACAGTCTACATATTGCTAAAAACAGTAGAAAATTAATTTGAATTTTGAAATTTTAGAGACATTTTTCTCACATTTCAACCACCTAGACAAATATAGCTAAAATTTAAAATTACAGTTATAAGATGATAGTTTTGATTTATTTTTGACAAATTTTTAGTTGCTGAAAATAGAATCATCATAACTATCTAATTTAAAAATTTATTACATCATATTGCATGCACAAATAATTAAATCAATTAGAATGATTGATACCAAAAGATATTAGGATGATTATTGATGAGTTAGAAGAATGATCAATGACATTAGATGTTTAAATACTCCTTGGATACATGATAGATAACATAGATTTTATTTGACAAAATTTTCACTTTATGATCTCAATAGATAATAAGCACTTGATGTGAAAATTTAATTGACCATTTGGGTTTAATAGAAATTTTTACTCCTTGATCCATAAGACTTGCAAAAGAAATTATTTATTCTTAATTGAAGAAAATTATGATAGCATGAAATTATTACCAACTATCTACCCAATAGGATCATGGCAATCGATAAGTTAGAAATCATAATAATCAATTATTTTTAATTCAGTCCCCCCCATTCTGGTATTCATTTAATTTTGTTGGTATTAAATTGATTTCGTGTGATAAACATATATGTAACCATTATGGTGAGTGTCTTTCATTTTTTTGTAAAAGTTTAATAGAATAAAGCTTACTTGTATTGAATATCATGAAGAAATTCATCAAAAGTCTAACTAAAATGACATTACCAAATCTATGGAATGTTATGTGCAAATTTATAGATCAAGTGGGAATACCTAGAGAGTTATCAATCTATGGAATGTTTTTCATATTTAGGTTGTTACTTAATAGTTGTATTTATTGCTGAGGTAGATGTTTGAGAATAGACTTGTAGATGTCTCTTCCTAGAAAATAATGAGATATTTAATGTTTATCAAGTAACTAATAATTTGCATTGTAAAAACTTATCAATGAAGGGAAAATTGATGATCGTTTAATTTCTTTGTGCTTCTTCTAAAGGAAGTTTCTTCAATCAATATAATTGAGTAGTTTATTCCTGAATTGACCAATTTCCTTTTTATTATTATGAGTCATTTTAATTCTTCAATAGAATTAATGAAAGATAAAGATCAGGGCCATTTCAACATCATACATGTTGTTCCTCTAATAGATTGGTCGAACTTTGAAAGGGAAAGAAGAGGGAAAATATAAGAGGAAAAGTGAACTTCAATCTAATGAATAGTAATCATTAAATCATTATGTTCTTGTGCTCCTAATTAACAATTTTGAACGCAGCCACCATTGACCAGTCCACATCAATATGAGACCAGTTTCACTTCTGTGTTAATTTAAAAATTATTGTGAAACATCATTGAATAGTTCGCAACAGAGCCCCCGTGATAGTCATTCAACGATTCTTCGATTATAGACAAGGACTTTGTCAATTTCTTACGCATTGCTTCCTCTCGTGGTTTCCGGAAAAAATGCTTAATAAGAGCCTTTCTACTCGCACAAAGCTATGAATTTTGCAAATTGAGCAATTTCAATACTTGTAATTGACCAAAAAGGAGACGGAAAAGAAGAGACTGGTACAGCGGATGTGGATCTGAGTCATCCTTTTCTTCGTTCCCGATTTCCTATCGTGGGCCCTCCCTCTTCCCCCGTTGTTAAGGACCGACCAAGCCCTAAAATCGCCCGCTTCGTGTCCAACACGACTGTCCTGCCCCCCTCCTGTCGCAACCTGGAGAAGAACATTTGCTCGGAGAGCCTCTTCTTTTTGTACTGTTGTCGTTGGTGGCGATGGGAAGCCTGCTGAATCTCGAGGAGCACTTCGCCTTCTACGGAGCGTACCACAGCGCCCCTGTCAATGTCCTCATCCACATCCTCCTGGTGTGGCCAATCTTCTTTACAATCCTCCTCCTCCTCTACTTCACACCCCCCTTCTTCCACTCCGCCGCCCCCTTCGGTTTACCCCTCGTCTTCAACTTGGGCTTCATTATCACCCTCGTTTACGCCATCTTCTATGTCTGCCTCGACCGCCGGGCCGGCTCCATCGGCGCGCTTCTCTGCGTCGTCTGCTGGGTCGGCAGCAGCGTCCTCGGCAGCCACCTCGGCGCCCACCGCGGCTTGCGCGTATGTATTCTACCATACGCTCCTTTCTCGTCTTGCTCTTCCTCCTCCCACAAATCAGACTGGTGTCGATGGAGCCTTCCCCATTTTTTATGCTTTCACGGTTTCGTCCAAATGATCGAATTGGGATCTACGAATCGAAGGTCAAAGCTATGAAAACAGGACATTTTCAGGATTATTGGTTTCCTAAACGCGTATTGTCGGTCTCAGAGAACTGAATCTAAAGAACCCATGTCTCTTCGCCGATCGTACGCATTGAGGAACCGAGATTCCCTAAAAGCCGTCTCCCTCCCGCTTCATCCTCAACTCTAAACGCTGCGACGCTGTTGTTCTTCCAGGTGGCCCTGGCATCCCAGCTCTTCTGTTGGACCGGGCAATTCATCGGCCATGGAGTATTCGAGGTAAACTCTTCGAACTGCAACGGCGGGGATTATTATGGTAACGTTGGCGATGAAACACCCTTGGCAATTTCCGTTACAGGGCCGGGCGCCCGCTCTTCTTAGTAACCTCTCCCAGGCCTTCTTGATGGCCCCATTCTTCGTTCTCCTGGAGGTAAGACGAGGCCTCCACTTCCACACCTGATCGATCGCCGATCGCAGCACCACCAAGCTTCTCACGGATCCTTACGCACAGGTGCTCCGTGTATTCGGCTACGAGCCCTACCCTGGCTTCGACGCCGCCGTGCGGGCGAAGATAGAGGCCGAGAGGGAGGCTTGGCAGGCCCGCGTGCAGAAGAAGAGCACTTGAGTGGGCCGAGACCCGCGGCTTGTGTATGAATAACTCGCTAGAGGGCGAGCTTCCATCGGATCATCATCTCCAGTGGATTCTTCCTCGAGCCCAGATTGATGTGGAATGTGAGACATTGTAGGATCACAGGGCGAAGATGAGGACTTTCGTGGAGAGAGAAATCGAGGGAGGCCGCAGCCTGGTTCCGCGACAGGGCGAGCTTCCGTTGGATCATCGTCTCCTTTGGATTCTTCCTCGAACCCAGATTAATGGGGAATGTGAGGCATTGTCGCTCACCGAGCGAAGAGGAGGCCTTCAGAGGAGAGAGAAATCGAGGAAGGCCTTGCCTGAACCAGGCTGCGGCCGGCCGCCTTGGGCACGCCACGCTCGTCCATGAGCATCCTCACCTTCTCCACCTCGCCCCACTCACCCACGGAGGCGTAGGTGTTGGACAGCAGGACATAGTCCCCACTGTCGGCGCCGCCGCTGACGCGTAGGAGCCGCGCGTTGGCGAGCTCCGCCAGGCGTACGTCCCCGTGTGTCCGGCAGGCGCCGAGTAGCGCCCTCCACACAACGGGGTTGGGCTCGACTCCCATCTGCTCCGCGAAACGTAAAGCCTCCTGCAGGAACCCAGCACGGCCGAGCATGTCCACCATGCACCCCAGGTGCTTGACATTGGGCTTGATGCCGTACTCCTCAGTCATGAGGGCATAGCACCACCGTCCCTCCTTGACAAGTCCGCTGTGGCTGCAGGCGGTCAGGACGCTGACAAAGGTCACCTCGTCGGGCCTCACCCGCCGCTGCCTCATATCCGCGAAGACCCGCATGGCCTCCCTAGCGTGGCCGTGGAGAGCGAGCCCTCCGATCACCGAGTTCCAGGTCGAGATGTCCCGTTCCGCCATGCCGCGGAAGACCTCGAGGGCCCGCTCAATGCTGCCGCACCTGGCGTACATGGCGATGAGGGCGTTGCCGAGGGTCACCGTGGGTCGGACGCGGCGCGACCTCACCATCGCCGCGAGGGACGCGTGCATCCGTGCGCCGGCGTCGAGCGCGCCGAGCTCCGCGCAGGCGGACAGCAGGCTCAGCATGGTGACTTCGTCCGGGCTCTCGCCGGCGCGAGTCATCTCCTCGAAGACCTCCAGCGCCTTCCCGGGTGATCCGCTCTCCAGGTAGCCGGCGATTACCGCGTTCCAGGAGACGACGTCTCTATGCGGCAATTGGTCGAACAACTCGCGCGCCTTGTCCATCTCTCCCCTCCTTGCGTACCCCGTAATCATTACGTTCCACGAGATCAGATCCTTGCAAGGGGTCCCCTCGAACAGTCGCCGGGCGGCCTCCAGGTCGCCCCTCCTCGCGTGGCCGGCGATCATCGCGGACCAGGCCACGACGTCCGCCCGGGCTGGCCCGTCGAAGAGCACATTGGCCGCCGCCATGTCGCCGCAGTTGGCGTGAAAGTTTATGAGCGCGTTCTTGACGAACCCATCAGACTCTAAGCCGTGTCTGGTGATCTTGGCGTGAAGCTGGTTGCCCAGTGAGGAGGACGAGAGCCTGACGCAGGCCTTCAGGAGGAACGGGAATGTATACTTGTTGGGTTGGAGGGATCCGCTGGCGTCGCGCCTCTCCATTTCGTGGAAGAGGGAGACAGCGTCGGAGGGGCAGGGCCCGTGGGCGGCGCCCCGGATGAGGGTGTTCCAGACGAAGAGATCCGGCTGGGCAATTCTGTTGAACAGCTGGTGGGCATAGACGAGGGCACCCGGGATCAGCACTGCCGCGCAGTAGACGAGCTCGCGGACCGCTGCCGGGTCGGCCTCAAAACCGGTGACGACCATGCGGGCGTGGAACTGCCGCAGTGAGCGCACACTCCGGCAGCGCCGCCACAGCGCCGGTTGGTAGCGCTTATGGCCAGACTTGCGGATCATGGGTCCACACCAGAGGCGGCAGGAAAGCCGGGACTTTTCGAGACGTGAATGGGAGACGGATCTCCTTCCGCCATCGAACGGCGCTGCCCTCACAACCCCTACCTCGGTGCAAATTTTGCAGCCTGCGGACCGCCACTGGACGGCTGGGATATAGTGAGCGTCAATGGATGAAGCAATTCACATTGGCTCGCTGTTGCCCGTAGACTGTCGTGAACACAAGGATATTCACCAGACTTTCAGATCCCTCGCGGAAGACTTTCGACTTATTTCTCAAATATGTAGATATTCAAGTCACCTTTCTCAAATATGTCGAAATTTAAATCTCCTGTTTTGAAATAACATAGGTATTTCAAAAATAATTAAAGCGGCCATTATCCAATAATTTCAGCAACAACTCGATCAGTAGTGTCACGAAATCAGTTAAATTTTATCTGCCATTAGAAGTGGCCGACAGTAAGCTAGTACTAAAATATGATTGGTTATCAAAGTTTATGCAAGCTAACCCAGCTATCTGATTTTGATAGGTTCCCATGATCGAATGAATCTATGAGGCCTGATAAAAGATAAGCACGAATAAATTAATATTCACTTATTCTACAAAAATGATTGAATTGTAGGATCCAAGCCACTTTATCCAAGCAATTACCAAATGGAAAACGAGATTAACCTAAGATTGGAGCACATTCATGCTTTGGAAATTCATGATGCCTAAATGTTGTCAGCGGAACATGAAGAAATTAGAATAGCTTCTTTGGGCATCACAAAAAGCATAGACTCTGAATTTTTGTTTCTATTGGATGATAGTAATTCATGTGAAATTTTGACTCGTGTCTTAATTATGAAGGTGATCATTGAATTTTAATGGAACGTTGTTTTAATAGTTTCTCTTCTCTACAGTGTTGTGATGTTAGCATACATCCTAAGAGACAGCATTTCCCATTGAAAATTCATAAAATGATCAATGTCTTCACGATTAGTTCGTTCAAAATCAGTTCATGCATATATTTGATTTGCAATGAACATACTCAAAAATATTTAAATTTCCTTTATCAAATTCAATTTATGAGCTTACTAGGATGTACTTTGTTTTTTATTTAAAATTTGATGTAATCTAAAGACTTCAAGAGCATAGGACTCATGTTGAAAAACAGTTGGCTATTTCATAAATATATTCATTGACAATTCAGATCTAGTGACAGCGAATAGTTTTGAAAATAATTTTACATCTATTTAAGAAAATAACATTTATTCATATTTATCAATTATTTAAACCTTGTATTATCCTTTATGCATGCTTGCCATGCATGTCGTATGCCTCTACATGTGCACTGCACATTGCGGTGCCTTGTGTCATGGGCCTCTGTTTGTGCATTGCATGTGCCATCATGCATTGTGCTAGGTCACTACCATGTCACATCATGCAATCATTGTGCCATCTCATGTTAATGGCTTCAAGGTTAATGAGATGCTCCCTTGAACATCCTTTTGTGATGGCAGAATCAACTACTTTTGCCATGCACACACATACCATGTTTGGGCCAATGCATGCACCTACATGTAGATCATAGTACAAGGTTCACATGCACCTTTCATGAACCTCAATACAACCTACAAGTGTCTTGTGTCTAACCATACCTTATGCAAGCCTCTATTGGTTGTGCATGTTGCACCAATGATACTTCTGTGGGCATGATTTGTTGTGTCAAAATGATGGTTGTGCATGGATCTCAATGCAGCCTCATGCACAAATTAGGGTTTCACTCCCAAAACATCATTCCTCCAATGAAGAGTGTCGCATTGAGTCCTTGGGCCTTATCAGTGGTCAATCTCAAGTGCTTTATATATACATTTGAATGTTATTGCTTATTAAATCATATTACAAAACAAGATTCTACTTTAGTCCAAGCTTTGAGCATCTAAAAGTTTATTGAGTAAAAAGTTATTCATTCAACTATAAGACTTATTCAAAAATACTCATTCGTTAATCTTGCATGTTTACATGTAAAGATACTTAAGGTAGTATTAGTAATAAGAGAAAAAAAAAGTTGTTGCATGTGTCTAGTGTTGTGAAATAGACCCCTAAAATCTATCATGTAAATAAATTAACTGATATTATTGATTTCAGCAGTTGTTTTCTTAAAGAGAATGGTGAAAACTATGGGTAGGAACCTTTAAAGAAGTGTCTCTCGTTGACAAGGAAATAGTGAGCCAACTTGAGTTTGTTGACTCAATGTGTATCTAGGCTTATGTCACTGTACTTTAGTGCAGCATAAGAAAAAACATTAAAAACCTTGGAAAAGGGTAGAAACTTAAAATAATTAATTCAACCCCTCCTACTCACACCCTATATAGCCTACCTTGAGTGCAATGGTTCTTAGTGGCTAGAGGACCATTGGTTGTTTGAGTGGTGGTAGGCATTAGGGAGAGACAAGGGGAGAGGCACATTGCCACTTGAAAGAGAGGCATTGATGCTTGGGACAAGGTGAGATGTATGATGATACTCAAAGGGGAGGGAGGGAGAAGAACATTAGAGATCATGTACCCAAGTGGGGACATGCCAGGATGCACCTCTAGTACTTGATGGGGTTGAGAGATGGATTATAGAAGTGAGCAAGAATAGGACAACTTTTCAATGATGTCAATGAGTGGTAGAGAGATAGTGTGGATTCAAATCACAATACGGTTTAGAGAGACATTTGAGCACCCATGACAAAGTGTCAAATTGTGGAATGATTAGCAAAAGTTAGGAAGGATGAGTTAGCCTTTATTGTAAATCTTCACATAAATTAACCTTGATCAAATTATTTACTATTGATGGAGTGTGAAGAGGCGACTCCCTAATTTTGAGGTAGTTTAGAAGGACATAAAAAACCAAGAGAAATGACAAGAATCATCTCTAAATCTAGTAATCAGTGAGGACTTGAAACTAATTAACTTTTTATTTGTTTTATAAAAATATTGTTATGTTGATATTGTTATCAAATATGTAAAGGAACTGATTGATAATGCTGATGCCACATTGGATTTCTCTAAACATGTGTATACCTAATCTACACACACACATTCTCTCTCTCTTTCTTTCTCTCTCAATCTATGTACACGTGAGTAATTACACTAGGGTTAGTTGGGTCTAATAATTGCTAATCTAGGAATCTCGAGATATCATGAGCTTATGGCATTTACTCTTGACTATTCTTCTTCGCCCTTAGTCTATAACTCTAGTAGTCTTCTAGGATTTAGAGCCATGTTCTCATGGCACATGGCCGCATTATTAGTCTCATCCATTTATCAGGTTAAATGTTGTGACAAGCACGAAGCATCTTAGTTATTGGGGGTGTAAAATCGAATTTTTAATGTTGCAAATGAAGTTAATAGTTTTAAAGTCGAGTATGCTCACGTTACTTAAGCTCACTTGAATTTGAAGAGTGAATTATTTTTTCCCATTCAAGACCGCTTTTCTTTTCCCGCCCGGCGAGAGCGAGCGAGCGAGAGAGAGAGAGAGAGAGAGAGAGAGAGTCAGTGGCGCACGGGAGGGACGACAGTGAAGGCGCCTCCCTTCCCATCCTCGAGAGCCTTTATCACCTCTCTCCCCACGGCACTCTTCTTTTTCTCTTCTCCATTTCAATAGTCGATCTGATCCACCAAGTCTGTTTTCCTCCACCTCTCGCAGCAGTCCAATTGGTGGGCTTCGCTTCTCAAGGGCGTGTCATCTGTTTTCTCCTTCTCTATCGTTCTCATCTTTGTCGTTACGCGCTCCAGTTGATCGTATATTTTTTTAAAATTAGAGCATCATATTTTCTTGTTTTTAATATCTCAGCCGAATTTTAGTTCTCAACTAAAACTGATTTTATTCAGGGTTCGGATCGTTTTTCTGGCCTTCACCTTTCCTTTCCTTGCTTTATTCATTCTTTGGTCGTTTTAAGCTTCTATCGGTGTATGCTCTGAGAAGCAGCTTGTTCATATTGAAACCAAACCACGGTTTGGATGATTATTGTTTGCCTGTCTCTCTTTGCCTTTTCTCACTCTGCTCAAGCATTTTCAATGTTTATTAGAGTCTTACATTGTTTTCTTAATATAATGGTAATTTTTTTTACTCTGCTCAAGCTTTAAGTTGGACGTCGTTTTTCTAGCTTAGTAAAATAATGGTAATTTTTTTGATCTTTTTCCTCGCCCATATAACATAATCAACAATAAGTTGATTTGCATGTGAGGTGACATGTTTAATGAAGTTTCATGGAAATAGAAAGTATGTGTTTCCTATAGCGCACACAATGTCAATTAGTTTTGAGTAATATGAGACAAACTTTTTAGCAGTATTATTACTTTCATTTATTAGAGAAAATGTGAAAAATCTATGTGAGTTCCTTTGGTTGACCTACTTAAGTGCTGTAAATTTCCCTCCCCCTCCCTCCCCCACAGCTTATATGTGTGTTTCTTTTTTATTCATCTTTATTAGTTCTGTGAACTTGTTCTTCTTTTATTTATAGACAAGAATTCCTTATGATTGTTGGTTCTTTCCTCTAGATGGTAGAA